ATCACAAGTTCACAAGTTCACAAGCTTATGTGAAGTACATCACAGCTTTGCGAGGTTTTGTGAACTCGTGAAGCAGTTAGTTCACAAGCAGTGTGAACTGCATTCCAAGTTCACAAGTTCACAAGCTTATGTGAACTACATCACAACTTTGCGAGGTTTTGTGAACTGGTGAAGCAGTTCACAAAAAGTGTGAGCTGCTTCACCAGTTCACAAGTTCACAAGCTTATGTGAACTACATCACAACTTTGCGAGGTATTGTGAACTTGTGAACACTAGAACCAGCTCACTTTCATTTGTAAGGTACATCACAAGTTCACAAGCTTTTGTGAACTATCTTGCCAGTTCACAACCAGAGCCCATTCACACTTGTGAGCTTAAGATTCATCATTACTTCAATTAAGATGTAGTTCACAAATTTTCACAAAAATGTGAGGTCCCAACCCTATTTCAGATCATGTCATTCATGTGACAATTGAAACCCCAAGTCATTCATGTGAGGAGAGCTATTAACTACCACACCCATTTCGAACCATCACGGTATTCTCCTCTGGACAAACCTCAACCTCAACCTCATTCTTCATCTCCAAGCATTCATTCATCTCTCCAGTCACATAATGGTACTCAAGACTCGTTCCAGTGCTAGAGCACTGTCAGGTACAAAGCAGAGCTCCGGATCGCGAGCTGTACGGGGCAAGAAGTCGAAGGCCTTGGGATTGCGCAACAGTCCAACTAAGAAACCAACTAGGAAATCAAATCGATCTACCAGTAATAATTCCAAGGATACAAGATCTTCTCGTCTTGAGAATCATACGACTCAGGTAGAGAGTGATAGTGAAGATGACTTGCCGGACAATGAGGACATTTACAAGGCATTGACATCCAACACTGACGAATCCAACACTGGCGATTTGGACTCCGACAATGAGGTTCTTGAAGCTCTTGCGAAGCGACCCACCAGAGCTCGCAGAGCTAATATGAAACGAGTCACCCGGGATAAATCTCAGCAAACCCCCCTTGCTAATCCTCTCGACGATCCTCACAATATAACTGCACGGCTTGAGGCACAGTTTGCCAACAGCCCTTCCAATCCCAATCCACTGGAGAATTTGGAACTCGATGATGAAGTAGAAGATAATTCAGTCCTGCCATCGATTCAAAATTATAAAGAGCTAGTTAAGGAGTGGCCAAGAAAGCGTATTACTACGGTTCAGAATTCACAGAAGAAGGTGACCTCGGTTCCTCCACATATCCTAGTCGAAGCAAAGGCAATCAAGAAACTTTATAAACATCATAAGAGGATGCTGGCGATGATGGGTAACATTACACCTTATACTTTAGATAAAAGCTTGTAAGTGTAATGTCAGACCGCTGTTTTCATGGTGGTAACAATCTGATCGGGAGTCCGTATCATATATTCAGGGGTGAGCTTGGAGGTACACGGTTTCCTGATGCATATCGTCTTTGGTTGAAATTTTCAGTGGAGGCTCGGAAACTAAAGAGTTAGTTCAGTTTTATCACCAAACAGTGGCTTCATGCTGATATTCCATTTGCCTTTGCAGTGCCCCGTAGAGGCCAGGCTGGAAATATATTAGCTAATTGTAACCGTAAGCTTGGTGCTGCCTGGAAAGCATTATTGGCGAATCAAAAGCGCGTGTTTCACCCTCGTGTCTTCTACACTTTATCTGGTCTTCCGGCCCCAACCAGCGACATGGACGACGATTAAGATGAACCTATTGATTTGTTGCCTGAGGATCGCGAGGAGCTCCAAGGGATATACGATGGAGCTGTCTGTGCTGCGAAGGTTCGCCAAGTGTATGCTAAGGCATCGAGTGGTATAACAGAAGGTCGAACAGTTCCCAAATACAATCAACTCTCTTTGAAGTGTGTTGAAAAGCTGCATAATCAGGTGTGTGTAATTTTAGTAATTATTATTATTATTAAATATCTGCTAATGAGAATTTCTTATACTAGATTGAAAACGAGGCGAATCGCATGGACTTTGGATACTACTTTCTCGCATCTAGTACCCATCCTGCCACTGGAGGTGATTCTGCGGATCCAGGGTGGTGTAAGGAGTATACGTCCAACGAAGAGTTGGCGGATTATGTGCGTAGTAAGAGCAATTTCCCCACCATATTTGCGGCACAGACGCAAGGTATCTCGGTCGACAAGGTGATTGCTAAAAAAATTGGCAAAGCGGAAAAGATGAAAATGAACCAGAAGCGTGTGGATCCTGGTGACAAGGTGAAGAGTGATCTAGCAGCATGTTTGAAATCAGCTTTAGGTGAGCCGGTTGTTTCACGTTTGTGGTAACAATGACTAATATGGACATACCTCTGCAGGAAAGGTATTGAAATTTGTTCCACCAGGTTTTCCTCGTGGACCGGACCCAGGTAAGCTTTTGTTTTGAAGGGATGGAAAGTGAAGATCAGGCAGCTGCCTGGGTCTAGCCTCCCCCCCGAAGTATTGAAATTAGGCTTTAACGCGATGAACAGTTGCCGGTCACTTTGGTTGAATGATCTCCAGGCTGGCCTATTTAGATTTGAGAAGATTCCTGAGGATCAGGACGACTTGATAGCTGATGATGAGGAGGAACGACATATTAGTGATAATCAGGGTAACTTGTTGGGGGATAATCATGAGGAACCATTGGAAAATGATGAACAACTTGGGCTTGGAATCGAAGAGGAACCAGAAGAATGGAAGGGGATTGGTGAAGATGAGACTGAGGGTGACTGATGAGACTTAATGATTTTGTGGATTACTTTGAATTAATCATGGGCGTTTATAGTTTTTTCTTCTCTCTCACTATTGTTCATCTTTTTTCATCTCCTCATTTTCTTTCTTGTTTTATTTCTTCCTCAGGTGACCAGCTCATCTTGTTTGTTCTCTATGATCGATGTTATTCCTTTCAACTATACATTTATTATGGATACAAATTTCATTTTCAAAAGTTATAGAAAATGAGATAGGAATACAATTTGGCTATTTGATGAGTTAAGTAAAGGGAGGCCCGTGCGAAATCGCTATGAGGGGGATCGAGAATTCTTTAGGTAATCGCTTGGACATGTATAGATGATGTCCAAGAACAGTGATGGCCTTAAGGATATGGTAGAGATGCTGAGAGTTTGGATCGATCAATCAATCAATCTTGACTAAATTGTGAGTTGCTATCGATCTTGACTATTTGAGGATCTTGAGATTGTACCTGTATGAATGGACGAAGCGTTGTGAAATGATCTTTATTTGTGTGAACTGGTAACTTATAGTATAGGGTGAGTTGTGGATCTTGAGTTGGTTGTGAAGTGATCTTTTAGTGTGAACTGGTAACTTGAGGTGATTGAGTTGTGAGCCTTTGTGAAGTTTTGTTCTTGTGACTCCTTGTGAAGTGGCCGTGAACTTATGGTCTTGGGTTGTTGTGAGATGTGAAGTGGTGAAGTTGGTCTGCGTGTTGGACTTAGTGAATTTGTGAAGTTTTGGTGGTGTCGGACGCGTCGGTAGGAGAAATATGGAGAAAAAACTTGGAAAAAAGTAGGCGCCCGACTTGTCGGACGCGTCGGCATTCTCTCGCAAAGAATATCGGCTTTTATCCGACCATAGAGTCTCGTTTTTCTTCGAATACTAGTCCAGAAGGCTAGTAGCTACAGGTGCCTGTAAGTCACATGGTGCAGTAGCTACACATGTAGCTTTGAAAAGCGCGTCAGCCTTTTCTTCATTTGACGTACACGTATTTCCATCGGACGTGAGTATCCTGCTTTACTTACCTATTTCATTCAATCTTTCTCATACTGATTTGGGTTTCCTTTTTTAGGTTATAGATTCTATTCTTCACAGCGATCGAAAGACGAAATATTATCAAGGGATTCAATTCACGGATGAAGATTGGGATTCAATTGAGAATCTTGTCAAGATTCTCGAGGTAAGTCTTTTGTTTTGATCTACATTTTGTTTTCACTGTCTTCTCATCTCTGATTCATTGTTTCCAGGTATTTGTCCATGCTACCAAGCGCATGGAAGGCAACTTCTCCTCTGGCTGTGTATTACTTGCAGAATACTCGCGCATTGTACACGAGGTTGACACCCTTAAAGATGCATGTGATGATCCTTACTTACAGAACATGCTCGGTGTGATGTTGACAAAACTTGAAGGCTATCAAGAAGAGGCCGTGGCCTCCGATGTAGTTGTTTTAGCTACTGTGCTCAACCCTCGTTTCCGTAAACGATTCTTTGATCTCAACTACCCCGATTCAGCTGTCCGAGCCAAGGAACTCTTCATCAATGCTTTTGAAAAAGCGTTGGCTGAGTGGCCTGAAGATCCGATCAATACCTCATCAGAAACATCGGAAATTAATCAGGATACCCCTAACCCTGCACCCATTCCGACTACTTCTTCACAATTTGACATCTTCACAACCGACGTCTCTACCCAGTCACCCTCTGATAAACGGCAAGAAGAACTCGGTGCCTACTTGGAAAGGTGCTCACTTGTTGCGAGCAGGCGAGAACAAGCTTCTCTGGTGGAAGGTGAGCTCAATCATCTAATATCTTATTCTCACTCTTGTTCTTTTATTTTTTACTAACAGTATCTTCATCTATAGGAGCATGAGAAACACTTCCCAGTCCTTGCTACATTAGCTCGCGACTACCTCGCATTATCGGCCACCTCGTGCGCATGCGAGAGGACGTTCTCTTCGGCAGCCGATATTGCGGTGCCTGGGTGTGGGTCTCTATCAGCAAAATCAATCACCATGCTGGTTGGTGTTCGTGAATGGTTGAAAGCGAAGATTACTTTAGTTACCGGTAAATTTGTTGAAGCGTGTGCTTATGTTAATGCGTATGAGTCTGACCAACGCAAGGGCAAGGGCAAGGGTAAAAATTAGAGTTATCTGCTTTACTTCATCATTCTGATTAAACACGACCTTAAACCCCCCAAAAAAACTTGTCCTTTTTCATTCAATCTATCTTCTTACTGATAAACAGGAGTTCGTATCAGTTTTAATCAATGTTGTGTGCTTTTCTTTTTTGCTAGTTTCATAAAAAACAACAAAACTTAAAAAAAAAAAATTCCTTTTCTTACTTTTTTTATCACTTCTACGTCCCCACTCAGCCCTTGAGAGTATTTTATGCAATCAACACGGGCTTTTTTAAAAAAATTGCTCTTTTTGCCGCTTTATTTCGCTATCAAGCCAAAAAAAAATCAACAGCGGAGCGGAGCGTTCACTAAAGCCGCACCGCTCTCAGATCTCATAGTGATCTGTTTTCTATAGCAAAGCAGTAGTGCTTTCTTACATAGCGCAAAACCGCTCCGCCCGTAAATATTGGAAATTTAGCGGATCGGAGCGGAGCGCCGTGGGTGTTGCTCCTCTTGACCAAATCCTCAATGTTGAAACTTGACATACACCACAGAGGTGTCTTGGCCGGCTACAGGCGGCCATGGCAGGCCAGCCGCAGACCGGAGAGCAAACGAAGGGTTGTGCAAATCGCGAGTTGCTCTGCTCGCGCGAGTGATACATGTGTGCGCAGGGGCGCAGCCAGTTGGTAATATGATAATATGATTACAGATGGACACATCCGTACAAACATCCCACAATAGGGCGGTTCAAGACAGATTTTGCAAACAGCTCGCCGGATATTGGCAAACCTAAATTTTAGGGGTGTGACACCCTTAAAATTTGCGTTCGCAGAGTGACAGTGTCTGTAAATTTAGGATTTATGACCTTCTCTTTTCAGGTCCAACGTCCGGAAAAGTCAGTTAGCTCCTCTTTTGTTGGATCAAACGGTCTTTTTTTTCAACATGAATGATTTTTTTTTCATATGTTTTGAATCACCTGGCCTCTTCATCTACCCTCCAACTGGTAATCTCGACCCCTGCTTCCAAACTATCATCCAGTTCACATCTTCAACACCAATCCACTTTTTCACCTCCATCATGCCTCGGGTATCTGACCGAGCAGCTGCGATACGAGATCTCACCATGTTATGTATGTTTGCTCATATGAATGCGGCCACCAACGATCCGGGAGATGGACACCACCCACTTGACCCTAGCGATGGCCGAATTGCCTACCCGGAAGATGAATTTATGGCAACGTTATTTGATGACCTGTTTGACGAGGAAGAGATGTGGGGAGACATGCTCACCACGGTCATCTCGAACCAATACCTGGAGCCTCGAATGCGTGTCCGACCAGCTAATCTCTTCGATCTACGGGATATGTTGCATTCTCGAAGAACCAACTTTCGTCAAGCTATGAGAACAACTCCAGAAGGTTTCGGCGCTCTTTTAGGCATGATTCACTTACATCCAATTTTTGTGTCAAACACCAACAATCCGCAACCTCCAGTGGAACAACAGCTTGCCATCACACTCGAGCGCCTCGGCAGTAACGGCAATGGAGCTTCAGTTGGTCGTTTTGCGAGGAACTACAAAGTGGCTCGCGGTTCTGTAGTCAACTGCACTCGGCGCGTAATAACGGCTATCTTACAAGCGGGGTCTCACTATGTCACATGGCCAAACTCAGACAGACGCAAAGCTATATCTAAGGTGCTGGAGCGAGATGGTTTCCCTGGCTGTGTGGGGTTTGTCGACGGAACTACCATTCCCCTCTTTCAGCGACCAGGACGTGATGGTGAAGTCTTTTTTGACAGAAAGCACCGTTATTCAATCAACATACAGATCATCTGTGACTGCGATCGCCGAATTACTTATGCTTATGGTGGATGGCCCGGTTCATGCTGTGACAGCACGGTTTATTCAAAAACAGATGTTGCTAACGCTCAAAACAAATATTTCGATAAAGGTATGTCACGTTTTCCTTTCACCCGTGGCATTCAAAGACTGTACTGACATGTTTACTGACTCGTTTCTGGTCAGGCGAATACATAATCGCCGATTCTGCATACATACCTTCTGACTCTGTGGTTCCCTCATACAAAGGCCAGGCAGGTGACGTTCAGCGCAACAGAGAGTTCAACTGGTGTGTGGCGAAGGCTCGTGTGCGCAATGAACATTGCATTGGTATTCTGAAGTCGAGATGGGCGTCGCTTCAGGGATTACGATTGGCATTAAATGAGAAAGAAGATATGTATCATATCTTACGATGGGTTCGAGTGTGCATCATTCTTCATAATATGCTGGCCCAACTCGGAAACGCATGGGAGGACGAGGACCAAGAACTGATAACTGCTGAACGAGGCGAGGCTGGTCAAGATAGATTTCGTGAATTAGAGTGTAATATTGCTATGGTTGAAAGAGGAAGAGCTCGACGTGAGGCTGTGCGAGACTACGCGGTGGCGTACAACTGGGAAAACGGCGGTCTTCCAATTGTGTAATCTTAATCCGTCCTCTGTTCAGTTTCTCGATGTAGACTCTTCAGTACTCTTTGATTGTAACTTGGCCCTTTTCATCCGATTGATGTCTTTCGATTTTGGCTAGCTCTCTGTTCAATTCAAAGAAAGTTTTTATTAAAGTCTAGCTCTCTGTTCAATTCAAAGAAAGTTTTTATTAAAGTCTAGCTCTCTGTTCAATTCAAAGAAAGTTTTTATTAAAGTCTAGCTCTCTGTTCAATTCAAAGAAAGTTTTTATTAAAGTTGTCGTGTGATTCGATGTTGTTATTTTGTTCTGGTCTTGTATCTCTTCTGGTCTTGTGTTTCTGCAATCGAATGTGAACAAGTCAGGAGTTGACACTTGACTTCATTTCAAAATGATATCAAGTGTGGTTTGTGAGCTTTTAAGCAGTTCAACGTGACTTTCCTTTTTAACATGACTTTTCTGTTGAACGTGACTTTTTTTTTAAACATCACTTTTATGTTTAACGTGAAGCTTTTAAGCAGTTCAACGTGACTTTCCTTTTTAACATGACTTTTCTGTTTAACGTGACTTTTTTTTAAACATCACTTTTATGTTTAACGTGACTTTTCTTTTTCAATTTTTGAGAACATTTTGAACTGGATTTCATTTCACAAACTGATTGATAACATATCATTTCTAATTCTAAATCACATAACAAGAAGATAACATTGCTCAAAATTTGATATTCGAGAACCAGATACAATCACATAACAAAAAGAGAAAAGTTATCTCTCAAAAATCGAAATAAGAGTACAATCGAAATGAGAGTACAAATACTTCAGGTCGGTCTGGAGACAGACAGAGGTCACAGGCCCGAGTTGAAACAAACAGATGTCATAGTCAGGCTGAGGTGCTCGCGCTATCACATCCAGAAGAAGGAGCAAAGATCAGCACCCAATCCAAAACTTTGGCCACTAGAAGAGGAGAGATAGCTTACATAGGCCCCACCTCGGGGTATACCAGGCGAAGATAGGCCTCAATTTCTTGAGGGGTCTTGCCCTCAAGAACCAGCTTTTCGCAAAAGGCTTTGCGCTCGTTGCGGGTAATGATAGCCATGCGATTGCGTTCCTCTTCGCGTAAGAGAGCCAATCGATTACGTTCTTCCTCACGTTCCAAGTAAAACTTTTCTTTGGCCCAACTGAGATCGGACTGTCGAGCTTCAGCCTCAGCCAGTTGTTTGGCGGCCTCAAACTCTTGGCGCCACTTGTTGGCAGACCGTAACATGTCAATCTTCGCCGCATTGCCAACTTGCATTGCGGTGGCCACAGGGTGTTTATAGTCCTTCCCTCGTACAGTTGAAGGATCAATTGAAGGGAGGGGATCGAGAGCGCGTCGAGCCAGAGTGGGACGTGCTGAACCACGACGTTGAGTTGAAGTGGTCATGGGTGCTGCGTTACCAGGGGTGTTCTCGTCTCCTGATGAGGAATCCATCGCACGCTCTTCCGCGGTTAACGTGTCTTTCTTCGAATATTTACGTTTGCTGACCTTCCGCGCAGGTGGTTTTGGGGGAGCCGCCGTTTGAGTTGAATCGTTCTTCGCGGCTCTGTTTGATGACTTCCTTGCCGACTGAGTGCATTTCGGGGTGGGTGGTGGTGAATCAACGTCGTTCTCGATGAAATTTCGATAGTGAGCATTCAGGTCATCTTCCGGGGTCGGGATTGGGTGATCTTTAGCCATTTGGGACTCGAAAAGGTCTTGATACGCTTCCAACTCTTCAGCATCAGGGCTTGAGAAACGATTGGTTGCAATTGGAGGTGGTAGACTATTTTTAGGTCGCGGAGTCATAACTTTGGAGGCATTCACATGGATTAGTTTGAAAAGTCGTCATTTCTTCTTAGATGAGCGAGATACGTACAAACGGGTTTGTTACCACCGGTGTTGTCTAGTACCATCGAGTTATCATGACCATCGGTTGTACTTCCTCCGTCGCTATTGGCGTCAGGCATGTGGTTCACATCGTTGGAGTTGGTGTTTCCAATGATGTCAACTTCATCGTCGTCGTCGTCGTCATTGGCGAAAAGCGCAACTGGGTCGATGCCGGTGTCGAGAATCCCAAAAGCGTTGACATTCCCCTTGTCTCGAAACAAAGCGTCCATCTCGCTAAAGCATGGGCACATGCTCTCCAAAAGCTGGTCCATTGTGCAATTCCCGTCTGCCACGTTTTTGGCAGACAAACCACTACCCGTTTTCTTACTGAAAGCCTTGGTGCTATGATATTTCGACTTATAGCGTTTCAAACGTTGCTGTAATACCCTTCCGTTCAGACGCATGTTGGTAGAGTTGTGTCTTATGTTGTAGTTGTTGTTCAACTTGATCGCAAGTGAGTTCAAAATGGTGGAGGGATTCATTGGCATGCCAGACACTCTGGTCTGGCTCCCGCCGCCGAAGATAGAGTTGCATATGTTGGGTTTACTGAGGTATGCGACAATAGTTTGATAATCGACAATGTCCAAAGGAGGGCTGTCCCGGTTCGGTTTGGCGGGCGCAGTCATGGAGACACTGCTAGCGCGTTTTTGAGCGGCGACTCGAGACCTTTTGATCGCCGCAGGAGTAGCTCGAGAGGTGGAGGATATTCCGGATGCAAGCAGGTCTTCCTCAATTTGAGCGCGAGTGCGACAATTTCTCTAGCAGAACAGAGAATTCGCGAGGTCAGCAACCATTTATTTCAGTAGACATGGTTCAATCAAAACACATACCTTGGAAGGCGCGGTGGGAGTTGGTGACATGATATTCGAAGATCACGGGAAGGTAGGGTGATGAGAAAAAGGAAGAGTGGAAAATGATGATGATGGAAGAAGATTTGAAGATGGAGATAAAGGAATCGAAAAAATGAGATGATGGGCCACGTATCGAAAGGAGATCTGAAACTAACCCAAGCGTTGAAGGACCTATGCCGTCTTTGAAAGCCTAACCCCAGTGATCCAAGAAACAGGGCGAATCCAAACCGAACGTTAGGCGGCGAATGCTGAGCTGGCGTGCTATCGAGAGGGGCGGTGACAGGGTGAAAGGCCAGGATCAAGCCTGATCCGTGAGGTCGGAAATGTGGTACAAGGCAAACCCGGATAACACCCCACCTCGCAAACCCAAAGGATCAAACAAACCCTTTCGAGAGAGGCTTTTATTAAGGTACACACACTGAAAAAAAAGAAACCCAAAAAAAAACGAAAAAAACTGCCACTGTGTTCCTTTTTTTTATATAATGAAAAGCTCTAAAATTATAAAGGCTAAAGAAGAGATCGCGAGTGCGTGAACCAGCTCTAGAGCTGGTTCACGAAAATTAAAATAATACTTATAATTTTAAGGCACCGAGCAACTCTTAAAACTCTAAGACAGGCTGTAAACGGTCTACTTGAACCGCCCTAATGATTTATCCCACACTCATCGTCCTTATCCCACACTCATTGTCATTGGTGATCATCATACTCCCTCAAGCCCGATGCAAAACGCACCAACACAGCACCTCGGACCAGCGTAGACGGCGTACGCCGATAATCAATGACAGCCGAGGTTAATCGGCGTAAAATTCCTGCCCCTGCCGCCGAGTCCGGCTACATACTTGGTATGACCACTGAACGATGTGACTTGCGGAACTAACAAGGCAAACACACCAAAGTTTTACTCGTTTCCTAGACAAATCGAGCCACGATTGGACACACGATTGGACACACTTGGAAGAGGATGAGCATTTAATTTGCCGGTGCACCAAGGTCACATCGGCGGTAGGACTTCATTGTATTCAGCACCTTGGCCATGGCTTTTCCTTCTTCACAGCATCCTTATAAACCACATGATAAGTCAGCCCGTATCATAACATCCATCCTTTTGTATTGATACGTTTATCCATTGTGTTTCATCACCTTCACACCTTAACTCACCTCCTTTACTTACATAGTCACGTTTATCATTCATCATTAATCAAGCACCCTGTGAGGCTATATTATATAATTTTCTACTGATATTATATTGCATTTTATTTCTTATACGTTTATGCCACCGGTAGGACCTCCAATTCACTTGAATCCCATCAAGCAAAACCTACCTTTACCTATCCCCGTACCGCGTCAAGAAACCGGCCAGTACTGTGTATCCAATAGCTGCAAACACCCTTGTCCCCATAGCACCACTTACTACCAGCCCAAGGGAACGTTTCGATTTCCGTCAATCGGCATACGTGTGGGTACCGGTCACTTGCCCTCATACGAATTCTTGTATCATATTGTTGATATAGTATCTCCCTCCTATCCGATGACCATTGTGAATGTTCTAGTGCCGATTCGATAATACCTACTATCGGCAATACAACGCCCAAGAGTACAAGCTAGAGGTTCTACGTCATAACCACACCATGGCCAACATCACGTTAATTGACCCAACCATCACCTCACCAACAACACAACCGCGAACCATCTCACAGTCTCGCGCAAAGTCCTCCAGACGGCCACCTAAACACCGACCAGAAGATATGTGCCGGGGTCGCGATGGCCAGACGGCCGAAGGACACACTGTGCGCAAGAACGCTGGTTGCGCCATTGATGCGTGTTCAAAGGTATGTCATGTATAACTTCTTACCCACCACCTTTGATCAATCGCCCTGCTGACAAACTGGACATGTAAGTGTTGTGTGGCGTTCCTTCCACAGGGGATTTTCTGTGGCAAGCACGAGTCGATGGCAAAGACTAAAGCTAAGAAACTGAATAACCAAGCAGCCCAGCCGGTTTTGTCTCAGTTGCCCTTGACTAACAACGATACAACTCCCAGCGGTGCCGGGACCAATGCCACTGCGCGTTTAACTCAAGCTGTTCGAAGCTTTTACCGCGAACTCAGTTCACCCGAGTATGCCAAGTTCCGAAGCATCTCAATCCAGAAACAAGCCGAAGAACGTCTCCTTCAAGACCGAATGAACATTGCCCGAAAGAATGTATCCATGTTTGTTTGGTCTTCTCTCGACAAGGTATCTACTCATTACTCCAATATCTTTCTTTTACATGTCTTCCTTCCGAGCAGTGACTTGACTTATAAATCATAATCATGTTGTACCTACCATAGGACCATACTTCCAAGTGTAGTTTTTGGCGAGTACCTGCCCCTCAATGGCCATTGTTGGCACTTCAGGAAAGCGAAGTCTTCACCGCGCTTGTGAAAAATCAGCTTGGAGAAGACTGGAATGGCACGTTCCAAGTTTGGAACGTTGTGGTGAGCAAGATCTCTACTTAAGCAAAAAAATTTAAAAATTATGTGGAAACTCGAGTTTTTGGTCAAAGGCACTATTATTATTGGGGTTGTTAGTCATCAAGGTTATTAAAGTTGATTCATTATTTTCATTTCATTATCTTTCAGAATATATATTTACATAAGCAATTGATAAGATCATTTAAGAGCAAAGAAAAATTCGAAAAGATCAATAAAAATAGTAAAAGAGTGAAAATCATATTAAGAGAATTAGTAAGAAGGGATTTGAGGAAGAAGAACATTTAGTTTGGATCTTTAAGAATGGAAACTGTTATGAAAAGAATGAAAGAGGAAGAAGAATATAAAGCAAGTTGGAGAAAAATTTGAAAATATGGGTATGAAAGCTTGGAAAGTGGTTTTTAGCTTATTAATAGAAGAGATATTGGTTCAGGAAGGTTTTGTTGTGAAAGAGAAGGATCACATTATTCATCAACAACTTTAATCATGAGGATTGATAAGGGAGGTGTGAAGTTATTCAAGAAAAGGGAAATTTTGAAGAAGGGTACTATGGTATTAATTCCTGTGTAGTGATGTCATTGATGGATTGGTTGCGCCAAGAGTTTTTCAGAAGGATTTTAGTGCTGTGTGATTGATTGGAGCGCTGTGGAATGATCTTTTGATAGAAGGAAAATCATTATTAGACGTGAAAATAGTCAAAATTCATCAAAAATGGGAGTTTTTAGTTAATTACATATGGTAAAACTTGTCAGAATTGGGTGTGTGATAGTTCATTCGACGCAGAATCATTGGTTTCATAATGTACAATCTTTAAATCATTAGTAGCGGAGGAGTAGTGAAAAAGTTATAAGGCAACAAAGAAACTGGAGTGAATTTCGAATTTGGAGGTTACATGTGACATTTACATGACAAAACCTTATTTTTGCAATCTTTACAACTCAATAACTTATTCATCACACATCAGAAATAGGTGATATAGGGGTGATAAATGATCAGAATAACAAGGGCTATCAAATGAGCTATAGTAATCCAAAATTGAACAACTTTACAAAAAAATTCGTAATTCCAAAAATGGATTTCAGCTATGAATATTAGGAAAAAATCACCTGTATTCATCATAAGAAGATCTGTTCATCATTTATTCACATCAATTGATCAAATTCACGCCTTGAATCATTACAAACAATAATCTTTATGACATCATATGATTACATTGGAGGATACTCTGTTGATTTTGACGGTTTTTGAGGGTTTTTGGAGGTTGTTGACCATTGTTGAAGGTTGTTGGAGAGTTATATACTATTGTTAAGGATTTTACGGGCCTTTGTTCCCCTTTTTACTCATCTTATACGTTTGTTAGAGTGTTTTTAATCATCATTAAATTACTTTACCAGTACTAAGTTCACTAAATAGCCCCTTTACATCAAAGGAGAGATTTCTTTACGTGTGATAAGACTACAAGTCTTCATTTGGAATAACAATCAAACTGATTGTTGCTTGCTAGTAATTAAAATTGTGTTTTGTTGTGTTCAAATTGGAATAACACTACAATAGTGTTGAGATTTCTTTATTTCTAAAACTCACGGGAATAATACTTGAATTAAGTATTGAGACATATTTCTCTGGTGCCTTATCCCAAAGAATTCAGCAAAACCCCGTGTTGGTTCTTTCAAAGAGGCAGTCTTAGGCAACTTCTACTAGATACTTTATTAATAGATTATCCCTCTTTAAGCTCTGTAAAGCTCTTGTTGAGCTTTAAGTTCTACAACGTAGAAGAACAACTATGGGTCAGTAGGTCTTGTTTTTGCTTCTCCCTTGTTTCCAAACTCACCCGACTTTCACTCAGATGAACATTCAGGAAACCACCGTGGAATTATATCAGGAAGATCATCGTAAAATCCTTATAATATTTCCTGGTATCTCCACTTACCAATGCAAAGACCTTGATCGCCACAAAGCCTCTATTGACCAAATGTCCAATCACACTGCAATGGACATCTTGCGATTCATCACCCACCCCTCAAATCATCACACACCACCGTCCGTCCCATCAATGACAGGATTATTGTCATCCACTGGAGCCAATACGCGTGGACCTGGATCGAATACCAATCCACTGGTGCTTGACACTCCGCCTGCTAATAACGACACACCTAATCCACCAAACTTTAACATCCCTGATACACCACCGTCTCCTAATTCATCACTTCCTGCACCTGAGGAAGCACTCACTCCAGTTGTGAACGGCGCTTGGCCGGATGGCGTAAGAATGACCCAAATGTTGTGATTTTTAGAACTCACTACAGGTCCCGAACCGTTACGTATCAAACAAGGTTGGGAGCGGGTTTTTGGCAGCAGATACACGTATATGGCTTCTACTGTTTCGCATTACAGAAGATGGTTATCAACCATAGGTCATCAGGAATTGTCTGCATATGTTGAAAGAGGTGGTCATCGCAGTGTTAAGGAAGGTAAAGTGTTCTTTTGCGAGGCATGGAAGCAACTTGATCGCCGTATTACCAGTAGCTCTCGTCGATCAAAGCGTTTTTGATTAGTTATCACTTATTTTCTTCACATTCACTTTCTACCTTTCTCCTCTTGATGCTTCACATACTATCGTTAATCATGTTGTCCAAATTATTAAGCCTAATTCCACTCATATTCAGTCTATTTTTCATTTATTATTGTATATATTCCATTGTATATATTGTATGTACAAATTTTGACCAATGTGCATAATTGTCAAATATTTCAGTAATTTTAATAAAGACTTTGGCCCTGTCCGTAACATATGAGGATATCATTCTAATAAACGTCTGCTTACTTAGTGAATGTAATTTGGTCATGAAATACAACACTCGTGAACTGTGAACAGTGGCATTATTTGCCTTTTTAATCTGAAGTTGATAACTCATGAACCGATCAAGCTCTTTCCTGCCCCGATCACTCCTATCACTTTACATTTTATTTGACAAATATGTAGTGATAAGCATAGGATTTAGGCCCTCTAATGATAATTAGATGGACAATTGATGGAACCAGATAGGAGTTGTGGTTAATCATAACTAATCTGACATAAATCGGCAAATTATGCAACAGAAGCCAAATACACCAATAAACAAAATGGCATTAAAACCCAGGAACACTAAACCAACTTCGAACAAAAAGTGATAGATTACACAGGCTATGTTGAATTATTATAGAAGGAAATAATTCATTATAATGATAATATAATTTCATAACAGAGAAACGCAAGTCTCAATCTTACATTACTCATTTCAATCTTATGTTTCCAAGATGTTCACACAGCTCATTACAATCATGTTGTTCAGGAAATAGTACAAACGCGCGGTTGACAATATCTGCCATAGCTGAGCTTTCGCGGCTGTGATATGGGGTGGAGCTATACCAGTTGATGATTCATCAATTATGTATAATATTGGAGACGTAAATATGAAACATTATTAAATATTTTGGCTTACTTTTTGGTAAAGCATACGACATTGCTTAGCCTCCCATGCTCATCGCAATCCAGGTTGGAAATCACAGTTTTGCTGTCACTGAGATCGTACACATAATGTATGAAAGCTTGAATTATTTTAGTCCACGGTTGATATTCCATTGGCAGGTTGTTGAAGTTGTCTTTCAGCACATATCGATGACTAAACTGATCAGTTATGCCCTCACATAACATCCATCTAGGTTCATCATCATAAGTAGAACCCGTCGACTGCAATATATGTACGGGCTGAATCTAATAAAGGTGTAAAATAAAATGATAAGGACAATGTCAAGTGAAATAGTAACAGTCTCGCAAACCAGAGGGCATATCCACTCACCGACAAAGATAAGCACTCATGGTGCCATTTCTGGTGTATAGCATTCATTCTATCGCTATGATCTCTTCTCTTAATGAAGAACATTTGTTTGAATTCTTTCAACGCCATTGCGGCGTACCGGTTGCTGTGCGCGCGGTCAAAACAATGTGGTCGACCTTGTGAAGGCAGTTCGCCCCATGATGAATGAAACTTGAGGAATCGGAGTCCTTTAACGTCACTCTCGCGGTGATGTACATATATCTTACGCACTATCCATTCACTGCCAATATACCTAGGCACTAATTGATACCCGCTGTAAGTGACTTGGTCTTCGAGGTAGTTAACAACCTCATATTGATCATAAAATGTAAACAGTGAGTTAGGATCTATTAACTTTTTCAATACTCGGTAGAGAGTTCCTTCTTCTTTACGCCCTAAATCTTCTATAAGTTCAAAGTACGGAACCGGGTTTTCAGCGCCTGAGGTTGCGTTATATTCTATGCACAAATATAGACAATAATTTAGTATGCGACACATACAAAGTGTGATAAACAAACAATTACCTGCAGATATATCCATGGAACTCAAGCTATGTAAGCTATCATCAACACACTCCACAGCATGATGTTCAATCAAGTGTTTGCCAGGTTCGCCAGTGGAGGATGAAATCAAACTGAGATCGCCCTGGCCAGGATTTGCACGGTCAACAGAGTCGTCGGAGATTGTGTGATCGGTGGAACGATCTTCTTCATGAAGGTTTGAAAAACTACAATCGTTGAGGACTGGTAAAACACCGGAGTCTACTGTGCTAACATTCGGTGAAACAGACATTGCGGAATTAGGAATGGTGAAGGGAGGAGCTTCAAAAGCGGCTTTGCACTTTTAGTTTAAGATACATCTCACACATTATGATGAACGTGTGGACATAGACAACCTGTGACGTCACACTTATACGACGTATAACCGCGGTATTTGATGCAAAGTGACCAAACCTATGACAGATGAATTGTGGCATTTTCACGATAGTGAGTGCTAAATTTGGTTTGTAGCAGGTAAGTGATTGATGATTATGGGCAATTGTTTATGATCAACATTCTAACCATTATGATCGTTTGTGTTGTGGCAACGTCTCCACTCACTCAAGCAAAGGAGCGAAGATTTCAAAGATAGGCGGAGTAAAAAGGAATGAAATCTGTAATATATAAGTATTACAGGTTAATAGAATTAAATATCCGATAACATTATTTACCAATAAAAATAGATATTAAGACACGCAAGGGTAGTTAGTACTGCGAAGGACAGGCACGTAGGTTCTAAGTAAGCAAAGGAGCCAAAATTACAAAGGTAGTTGTTGTAAAAAATTTGAACTTCATAATAATATAAGTGTCACAGTATATTATCAGAATTCAATATTCGATGTCAATATTTACCAACAAAAATAGATATTAAGATGTGGAAGGGTATTACTGCGAAATAGTGGGACTCTTGACTAGATGCCAATCACGTAGGTTAGTTACTGATAGGAGACGACACATACTCGATATTACCAACAAAAGTAACATTAGAACGTTTTTCTATCTTTTCAACTAGGTCAGTGTTATGTATAAATATCATTTCCTCTAAAAAGAAATTGTATCTTGTAGGGTGCATGGTTCTGCACATTGAGTCGAATTTCCCAAACCATGAGTTTGCAATTTTGCCTGCGGAGGTGTTGAACAACCAAGAACCCGAGGTTTTCTTGAGCTCTGGGAAAAGGTTGGGATCGTTGTTAGTACGACAGGCAGTATGGGTTTCTTTGTGCGACTTGATGTGGAAAGCATCAACCGGGAGGAGGGTATCACGAAAAGCAGCTGCATCTGTGGGGTTTGATTGTATGTGCGAATACAGTCCACAGGCGTTGTCGTAGAATATTACCTGCGGCATCTCCTGAGGAAATACTTCTCGGATGAAGTCCTGTGTCGAGTGTAGTTTTGAAAGAATAATTATATGTTATGTACCTTTACTGTATTTATTTATAATATTATCAAATAATGTAAATAGCACACACCTTTACTTTAGGGACTGTTTCAGATCTGTAGAAAGTTTTGCAAGCGATTATGACTCCGCAAGGTGCTACCATGAGCTGCTCATTGTGGGTGCGACCTCGAGAGAGTAACAAGCGGGGAGTTGTGTCGTTTTCGCCGCCGTCACGAGCCCCTTCGTGTTTGTGTTCTTCCACGTTGCCATACATCAAATCTTCTTCTGAAAGTTCCACCTCGCCTGTTTTGGCCGAGACCATAAGGCTAGGGTCCATGTTGATACTAGTATTAGGGCGAATGGTACGTTTGCGTAGTCCAAATAAAGAAGAGTTCCTTTTGACAAAAGCTTTGTGAGCTGCAATGTGATCAGTGTCATTGCAGGTTGCAGTTCCAGGGCGTACGGCTTTTAGGCACGGCTGGGCTTGACAAATCCCTTTTAATAGGGCGGTGTGAGTTGGGCAATAACGCGCATTTGTCTTTGCCAGATGTTCACTGCAGTAGTTTTCAGCGCTGCCAGGGTTGAAGTGTTTGATTTGATCAGGTGAGGCGCTACAGCACCAGTGTCCAACGGTGATTCCATCGGTGACCATTGCGCGCAAGACTATCAAAAATATCAGTATATTGTATACACGTGTTTGATGATCATAAACGTTTACACTTACTCTTGGCTTTTCCGGTGTTTGGAATGGGGACAATGTGGGTGCAGGTGGAGCAGGTATGCCCAGCAAAGGGTGTACCTTCATGTCTCAGCCATTCAATGTGCTGTTCCATAGCAGGATGAAATCGCCGATCGTCAGCTCCCTTAGCAAAACCTTTCAGGCGAATTCCTTGCATTCTATAGACGCGCAATAGCCGGTGGATGTCAAGGGCGAGAGAGCAAACATTCGGAGATAACCATCTTGTGTATCTTGAGCTTTTGAAGTCATTGCTATAGGTCTTCTTCTTGTTGGCGTGTGTTTGGTTGTATGATATGACAAGATTTTGTACAGATACGCTTGGTGAATATGGAAGAAAATGGTATATAGGTCAGTTTTCAACACTTATACCAGTATGAAATTTAACAATTTGCTTACGCGCCGTGACCCTGTAGTTGGTTGAAGTATAAGGCGAGCTGATGTGACATGAAATAGTGTTGAGACACATGGAAATGTTTGGTGGGCTGTCCTTCGGCGTCAGTATAATATTGACGTATATCATTGTTTCGGAAGTAGCATGGTGTGTAAGTTGTTCTGCATGCTGCAAAAATTATTGATGAATAAACTAGGAAATCAAGATGAACACAAGGGTAACTGGACTCACTGCAACAGTAAGTAGTCATATACTGTATTGTTTCGATGCCGGCGATGTCAAATAGATATCCGTATTTAATTTCACGATCCATGAGGAGGTTCAAAGAGCTGTCTTCGTTGGGTGGGCATTGAGTACAATAAGTGTTGGGTGGCAAGAAGGTGTGTTCTGTAATTATACGTCGAGTGATGGCGCGAGGTGGCTTGGCAATTCCGCTAAGTTTAAAGTTGTTAGTATCGTACCAGCAGTCGGGTAAATCAATGTAGGTCAAATTCCACAATCGACTCCACATTGCAATGGTTTGCTTGTGATCGAGACAGTGTACGAGAAACTCAATGGGCGCTTGGTTGGGGGAAGGGCGGAGAACTCCGTTTGATCTCTTCAAAAAGTTGGCAGCCAATGTTGCAAATATTGACAATTGGCTCAAGGTCAAGGTGTCGTGGATATCTGGGTACCACGTGGCCAGATATTGCAATAGATCTTTAACCAGCATGATTTCCGGGCCGTTTGTTAAACTGCAATACGGGATGGTGATTACGTGACGGGATGGTGAGAGACCAACGGATTGATAACAAAGATAAAAAAATATAGCGAAGAGTTGAAATGGACGCAGCGGTTTTGCGTTGCTAAGTGGATATCAAATAGTCAACCTGATGTGCACGTCCTGCGCACGTCGACTCTGCTTTCGGACGTGTGAAACTTGTCTTATACAAATTGGACTAATTGGGAAGGTGTCGCTCGCGCAAGTCGAGCGGCTCGTGGATTGCACAACCCTTCGAATATTCTGGCAGACCGCCAGCGCTTGCATAGGGGCAGGCCGTCTGCAGATGGCCCTCACGCGAGACGTCTGCCAGGCGCCTGCTGGCCTTGCCTGCAGGCCGCCTAAATTTTGCCTGCAGGCCGCCTGGATTCCGGCTTTCGACAGTCAGCTGGATCGATGGCCCAGCACATTCACCGGGGTTTTCAGCTCTCGGACACGCTTACCCGGTCTGAATGAGGTATTCGGATTTTAGACGGGGGAATCAGGCTCTCGGGTGGGCTTAGCTCAGCTCAGCAGGGAGCTCAGCACGGGCACACGAGTTTGACAAATCAATTGATTGATTTCACAGTCAAGTCTGGAAACAAGTCTAATACAAGCCTGATAAGAGACAGTGACTACGGAACATGAGAAAGATAAACAAATCTTAAAGAAAGACTCATTCTCATTATTATAATGTGATAATAATAAGAATGTTGGAGGATAAAGATCGAAGTTAAATCACAACCAGAAAGCCGTCTTTTAACCCCACTTAAAGCGTGTTCAGAGGCCAAAAAGCTAAACTCGAATCGATTTCCTCCAATGATTGAGATCACGGCTCCTGTGGTGTTGAGACTTATCATAAACCATGAAAACATCAACATCGAGTCAGGACTCCAATAAATAAATTCAATATATTTGCTTACTCATCAGCCAGTAAGCAGAATGTGATAGACAATTTTTTGCTTGTTGGATAGCTTTTAATAGATCGAACCAACTGACAGTCCAGTAACTTGAACGAGGTGGAAGTGCAGGACCTGGTCATGGGTTTTGGAAGATGACCCAATAGGAATTAGTCTAGATTGTGGATAATATGATGTGAGTCAATTTTGCTTTTCAAGAGTGATAAACGTACAAAAAAACTGACCAAGACGATGTTATATGTATCAAGCAATTTCTTGCCATTGAGAGGGATTACGACTGAAAGGTTGATAATGATTACAAAGAGGTAGCCCAGGTTAGAGTGCAAGGTGGATATATTCAAGATTTGATTGTGTTCCAGACTGCATTCGATTTCGAGCTCATCAGCAGTGAGAGAACTGGATCGTTGTAAGGCTGCCTTCGCTTGTGGGGTATGACGAGCTAGTCTAGGGAAAGCAGCTACATAAAAGACAAGGGTAGCATCATCTATGATGATCAAACTCGAATGAAAAATCTTCAAGACAGGATTAGCAAGACTGAAAACAAACAGGTGACAAAACCGATCATGTAAAGTGAAACTGCCCACCTCCACCTGGAATGGTCTTCATTGAGAGCCAAAGTACAGTACTGACTAGCCCAACATATAAGGGTAAGTATCAAGACACTGATTCTTCTTCATATGCGTTTGTAAAAGAAGCAAGAGGGGGAGAACAGACACTTACTAAAATTGAAGGATAAACCTGTGTGTTTCAAATGTTCTAAAGCGTGATGAGGTTGAATTAAAGCATCTCTTTTTGAATTTGGAGTGGAATAATGAATTTGAAAGTTCTTGCTATGCAGGAGGCCAGGGATGAACGTGTCACATTTGACCTAACCAATCTCTGGAGTTGCGGACTTTGCAACTTGAGTGATGTTTGTGGTTGACGTCTAGTAGCGGTCTCCTGGCCTTTTGCAGGCGGATTTCTGCTTGGATTAGGCCGTGTGAAGGATGCCAGGCGGCAGGCTGCCTATTGTTGGCCTGCAGGCCGCTCCTTATTCTTAATTTTGGAAAGAATTGCTTGCCAGAAGTATGCCCGACTGCAGCCCGCATCTAGATGGCCTGCAGTCGGTCTTGAGGCCAATTTTTGACCTGACCATTCTCAGACAGTGTCAGGCCAAATTCTGACAAAAGACCCTCCCGTGGTGTACATAAAGCTGTGGAAGTACCGAGGCCTCGACTCCCCGAAATGACACACTCGGGCCGCTGATGTCGGGTTGTGTCTCCATGATGGGGCGGCCAGAAAGGCACCTGCAATTCACAAATAGGAAGAACTTGACCTTCAACCGAGAATAAGGAAGAGGAACGAATGGAGGCGAGGACGGTCAACAGATATCAAATGGCTATTTCCTGAATCACACAACTTCAAACTTATCAGAAACTGAATTTTCTCAATGGCTGCGAACTATTGGCTTAGTTCCCATGCGTGAGCCGTGTTTCGCTATCTTTAACCCTTACCAGGACCAAAAACTGACTTGACTTGACATATCCCTCCAGGAACAATCATATCCTGACGCGGCATGACCTTCGTACCTCCCCTGGCAGAGCGATTGATTTGAAATTTGCGAGCGAACGTGAAATTGCATGTGTTAACATCTGGAGCTGCAATGGTTGCACACTTTACTTGTCGCTTGCTCCTGATTCGAACGCTGACGAAAAGGTATCTTTGCATCTCGATCGGTATCTAGTTATACATAAGTTGGCCAAACGATTGAATTGTAGACAAATCGTCACCGCCACCGCTGTCACCTATTTCCGGAGATTCTACGTTAAAAATGCGATTGCAGACACTGACCCGTAAGGAGATCCTTTTATTTGACATGTCGCTTTAGTTGAATCTTTCCCATTGTCTTACTCTCTTTATGTTTAGATGTCTTGTAGCCAGTGCTTGTATGTACGTGGCAACCAAAGTTGAAGAAGCTCCTTGTCATATTAAAACCGTGGTCGAGGCCGCTCGATTTGTGTTTGCAGGTCAGGCGAGGCTCTGACCTTTCTAAAATAGCATGATCCCTTAACATCCCATCTCGCAACTTCAAGGTCATGAACGGGTAATGGACTCATCCCCCATGCCTTTCTTCTCACAGAATATCCGGCTTTGGGTGCGTTTCCGACGGACGCAGCTGTTCTGGCGGAAATGGAATTCTATCTCATTGAAGATCTTGACTTCCATCTTATCATATGGCACCCTTACCGGTCAGTATTGACTCTACTATGATATTTTTGGCCCCCGTGTTCATCATATACTTACAGTTCCTTCTGGGCACTTAGTGATTTGGCCCATTTTACAGGCCGAGAAGATTCCGCGGTACCTAAAGATGCATCCGAGAAATTATCGGAATGGGTCCCTGCCGCCGGGTCGAATTTCTACGATGAATATCGCCGAGAATGTGATCGACAAGCATCAATGCTTGACTTGAGCGACGAAGCCCTTCAGATGGCATGGTACGCATAAACCTGCACTCCCTCACGGCATACATGCGGTCCAGATAATAAAAAAACATCTCTCATAACTTACGAAACATTTTCCTTTGTTGTCACCTACACCAGGTTTATCATTAATGACACCTATCGCACAGATATCATACTGCTATATCCCCCTTATATTATAGCTTTGGCATCAATCTATATTACTGTTGTGCTTCAGCCTCACCCCTCTCTCAGAGCAATCAAGCAACTTCCACCTCCAGTCCATCTAACTTCAACCAACACATCCAACAACACATCCAATGAATCTAGCGCAGCGAACTCCATTCGAAAGCAGTCTCTTCCCCCATCCCAACAAACAGTCAACCCCCTGGACTTCTTTGCCCATTTTCCACTCTCAATGTCACTCGTCCTTGAACTCGTTCAAGAGATTGTTGCGTCCTATGAGCTCTGGAACCGATTGGAAAACCCCCTTTTACCGATCCAACGTCCACCCGATAACCCTGCTGATCTACCTTCTGGTCTAGCTTCAACTCGCCTCAATCAGCCATACAATAACTCTACTAATGCACGCCCAATCCACGAAAGCAGCGAATCTTCCCCAGCATCCAAGGCAGCTGGCCTCATGGCTGCAGCGAAGACAGGCGACAAAGCCGCTGATGAAAGAGTGGTTGAAGTGTTGGTAAGGATGCGTAAAGAGAGAGAAGCAGATCTCGGTTAGTCTCTTTGATCTCCAACATTCTTCTGGTGTGATATGCGGTGATCTGCTCTACACGCAGGCAACCGATTGCTACAAGTTTCTTTTTCTTGTTTGATCTGTTTATAAACTCATCTTTACTTGCTTATGATGATGAGTCAGTTGTTCCTGTATATTCACGAGAATCTTGGGGTTTCCCCTTTGCGATGTGATCGAAGACTGAATAGGATCAACTATGGTGTTGTTTTCCTGATTGATGATTTGATGAAACTCGATTGTGATGATGGTCTTATGGTTTTGATTACCTTTATTTTCATGTTTTAGTGTATTTTGTAAGGAGCGCAAATTTTGAAGTGATGGATTTTTGAGTTTTCATTTGCCTTGCAAATCAAGGCAAATCATACGACACGTATTCTACAACCATTGAACAAGTTGTTTAACCAATCTTCTGGCAATGAAGAGATGTCCAAGTACAGATAATTGAGAAGGACAGAAACACCATGTCTTTGAATTCAAAATTATCATCGTACTAGAAGGGATATGAAACATTAAGATTGATGTTTTCAGGAAACCTCGTCAGTTAATTTCTGTCCTGTAACATGGCCATCATCTTTGGTGCTCATTAGAACCCAGAAAGATCAAGTTTGACGACTGTGGACTAATTTTCTACTATACAACAATGATACCATCAAGACTCAACGAGCCTCGTGTCGGAATCTCCAGCCAAATTTGGAGATTTTCACAAGATTGTGTGTCATTTCATTCATCTCATTTGGACTGTAAATAGTCAAAATCGTCAGCATGGCCCAGTGAGCTTCTAGGCTTGCATCAACCCAAAAATCGGCTCAATCCAATTATTATCAAAAGAGTAAAAAATCCTGTAAACTGGTTGATGCAGGTGGTTTTTATGTAATAAATAACAGCCAACCTGTTTAGGCTGAAACACTCTAGAACTTGAATAGCAGTATATATCTCATGATAAATAATAATATCCTGGTGTATACTTCATTATTCACATTCAAACCACAGGGAGCTTTCCATCTGAGTGTGAAGAACGAGTTGTAGGTATGATCCATATTGAAGATACATTCCAGATTCCAAAGGTACAAAGGTGGTGTACTAAAAAAAATGATAAAAGTGAAATTACACATGTTCCAACAACACTAAGAAAGCAAAAAATCATGAGTAAAAATCTATTTATAACTGATAGCAACAGTATGAAAGTATTAAAGGTGGAATGAAAACCATATGAACTAAAAGACCTTCATGATTTTGGTAAGTTTGAAGGCAGTGAGCATTTAAGAGAAGATTTCAAGGAGAGTAAGGAAAGTAGTAAGATACGCGTGATAGTTGAGAGAAAACATGAGCATATATGAAGATAAGACGAGGAGAAAATCATCCTAAGTTGAAGAAGGAAACAGTTTACACAGGAAATTTCGAGTGCAAGAAGATGTAATGAAAAAAATTCCAAGCATAGAGAGTGCTAGGGTGCATAAAGGAAACTATGCTAAGCGTAAAAATCCGTGCGAAGTCCGCGTATGACGATGAAGATTAATAGAATGAAGTTTGGTGTGAGGCTTGAGAGTACCCATTATCAGAGTTGATATGAGGGTACTGTAATTGATGAGATGCTCGATTCGCTGAACCGACTGGATCTTGTACTTGTGAATGAGAGAAGAATCCCGGGTAATTGACGGGATTTGAAAAATTGGTCATAAAACTTGATGGAGGTGTAAAATTAGGATAAGGGTTAAAGTGTTGCGATATGGTAGGTGGTTGTAAGGTGATGACTCTTTCGTGTTTGATCATTGTGCCATCTAGAATAAGAGGTTTAGAACACATCTTGCGATAAGCTTCACTTGCTGCCTCTGTGGTATGGAAATCAACTGATCCATTTCCGAGGCTCATTCCACTTTCTTGATCCATGTTCAAGTTGACTGATTTGATTTGGTTGAAACCCATATTGGTGAGGTACTTCAAGAGGTCATCTGTATCAATGCAAGCTACGGGTGAGATGTTGTAGACAAATATCTCTGAGCCGAAGGAGGGTGTGGTGTGATTTGACGGAATGAACGACCCATTTGTGATTTCCGCCGCTGGACCGCTAGAGCCACTGTAGGAAGATTCAGTTGGTGATGGAAATGGGATCGCTGAATTTTCTCTGTTCCTTGAACATGCTGAATAGGATTCTCCATCAAGTCCGCCACCAGTTTGAGCAGGATTTGATCCTTGCGATGAAGGTGGCCCGCCGCGCGTAATTGGGCCAAATCCGCCTGTGCTTTCTGGTGCAAATCGAGGTGACAAGTTTGGATGTTTCCCATGGAAAGCAAACTTACGAGCTTGTTCTATCGCTGATGCAGAAGGGCCGGGATTGAAGTTCATACTTGGGCCACCGCTACGTTGGACAAATGCATAGCTTATATGGAGCTCATACCCGTGTACACGTTTACCATGAAGCCCTCGCATCACAGCATGCGCTTCTTCGGGTGTCGCCATATCTACAAATGCTCTCCGTCTATGATGAAACAGATCTTTTGTGAACAACCTTTTTACAAATCCTGATATTGGAGTAAGGGATCTTTTGTGGTGGAAAATATTACTTACCGGCCTGCATTGTCCAAGGTTGCGAGAACACATACGTGTCTAATCTCACCAAAATCTCGCACAATGCTTTTGAGGGTCTCATTGTTTATATCGAGACTGAGGTTCAAAATATATAAATTGCAATTTCTGGCGTCAAGGGCGACGGAACGTTGTGTATGATTGGAAGAGCGTTGAAACTTGGCTTGGTTCGGAACGAAGTCTCCTTGTTTTGGGTAATGCAAAGGCATTTGTTCATGTCCTGTGCTGATAGTCTTACGCTGGAGGGCAGTTGTATCGGGAAGAGAGAGTTGGTCTAAACTTGAAGGGGACCCCGCGCGATGAGAGCAATGTGATGTGTCTGTGTCTTCGTCTTGAATCGCCATCGTTTTACTTTAACCCCCAGAAAGCAGAATAAGTCTCTCTCAGTTAACATATCCAACTTTAACAATCGGTCCTCAACTTTTTGCAGGAGGTGACACAGAGCGGGAATGACTCAACATCTTGCAACCATGTAGGGAAGTTCCATCGAGGGTATGAAGAGCACATTGCGCCATCCTTGGTTCAGCAAATCTGATCTTGTACTGGTGGGAATCACTCCGGAACGACGACAAGGGTTGGACGTCGACCACTTCTCCAGCGACGGAGAAATAGTCTGACAGATCGTGAACTGACACTATAAAAAAATGATACCTTCCTTGAGCCACTGGAGGAAAGCCTATGTTTTCATCTTGGGTTAGCTGAACGGAGACTCACCACTGGGTAGAACGTTGTCCACCCGGATGGTCGCCGATGAATTCAGGGTATTGAGGCGACTGGGCCGAAAATCGGACATTTATGAGCTATGGCGCGTTATGCAGTAATAGATTATGAGGTACAAAGCCTGATATTCAACAGTTTTTGGAAGTTTGTGAGTAAGAAAATTTATGGCTGAAGAAAGCGATCTGAGTCAAATGCGATTGATCATAGCAAAAGGGCACGATATATCGTTCAACAAAAGAGGAGATCTCATTGATGTTAGCTCAAATGTTCCATACCGCAAAGCAATTCCGAGTTAAATGTCGGTGCGACCAGGGGCAAAATTGAAGACTCTGTACGTAATCAACCAGTCTTCTCTAAAATGAAGCAAAAGGGCGGGGGTGCTCAAGAAACGACTCAATTCTTTACTATTTGTCCGCGCGTTCTGAGCATAAGCAAAGCGGTTGAACCCCATGACCAACTAAGCTCAATTTTGTGAGGTAATCCAGCTGTTGGTGGTCAATGTGGTCGTCCACGTCTCAGCTTATGTGACCAGCCTTGTTGGTTTTTAATTACATGCGATATTACTATGCGCCGAGAAGGTAAAGTCCATTCCGATCGCTCTCAACCCTTTGTGTCTCAAATTATCATCAGAACTTGTGACCTATAATTAGGATGCTGTTCAATCATCAACAAAACCTTGGAAGGCCCAACGGACGTACGCATCTGTTGGATATCCGCTGAAAGCAAGGTTGGACAAGCAACGAAAAGGACGAGAGATAGCGATCCTTGCATTGTACAAATCAAGATATCTGATTAGGTGATATTAGTAACCTTGAAATGAAAAAAGGCTACACAACAAAGATTTCACCATTGCATTCTTCAAATCATCCTCAGATCCTTGTCAAAGAGTATTGGCCAGATTCAGAGATGTCCTAAAGGATTCTGACAAACCATAGAAGTGGAGAAAATTGCTGAGTTGCTTGGAGGCACCACAAGCCAAAAAATGTCAACGCATTATGCACCTGCATGCCATTAGCCCAACGGTCACAAACAACAGCAACCATTCCACATCAAGGAAGTAAAAATGTGTTACCTTACAAAGTTTGTGCAAGAGTTATCTATCTAACTAACCACAATTGATTGTAACATCTTTCTTTCATTCAAGAGTTTTTGGCTTTGAACATCTGACATTCTCTAGTGTAACCCTGTCTTCAACCCCTGATATTTTATCTATTCCCTTCTCAGATGATATCTTTGCGTCAATTTCATTGGTTGCTGTCTTTTCAATAATTTCATTGGTGTCTGATAGTTCCATGCTTGACAAGATCTTAGAATTGATTAATCTATATAGAAAGGGCATCAAAGTCTGAAGTGATGTTTCACAAGCAGCACTGTTATTTTCCAAAATGAAATTGGCTGTAATTTCCTTTGAGCTATATAATGAAACATGTGGTGTCTTACCTCTGGAAGGATTCTGAGATCACTATGAGCTTTTCCTGGAGATTTTAGGTCAGTAGTTTTAGAAATCCAATCAAGATTCCAGATAAGGACAAGCAACTGGCTACTCACTTCATTAAGGATGAAATCATTCCACAACTCATCACTGCTGGCCTGTTTGCACACTGTTTTCCTCATGGTAAAGAGAAACTTCAGGGACAAGGACCATCCTGCATCAGTTCCCCATTTTCTTTGCTTCTGCTTGAGGTGCGGGTTGTTGCACAATAAAAACAGCACATGAAATTCTTATGTCAGTATTTTTTTGAGAAGCTCACACACTTCTAACACATTGTTCTGAAGGCCAAGATAAAACTTCTTGACAGGGTGGACAATTGAGTTGTCCCTCATTTTGAAGATGAATATGAAACAGAAGCAATAGGATCAACAAATAGAAATTTATGCCTTGTTTCACAAAGGAAAGGAAATGAAGCAGAGATATTTCAAGCTTGCACAAACTTTTTTAAATAATAAACCACTTTCAGACACCAAACCATGATGTCTAAAGAAAGCTCATGACATAAGGTGACACAAGATCATGATCTGCTTGAAGGATATTGCACACTCTTTACGTAAACTTACAAGACATTACATTGAAAGCAAGAATGTTTTGCAAGTGGTTTGTACAAATAGGAGACACATTCAACATTTGGAATTAAGTCTTTGAAGTTGAGCAAATGTCAAACTCAAGAGAAAAAGAAGCCAAACCAGAACGGCTAAAGGAAGCTCATGATGCAAGATGAGTCATGCCTTTGTGATTAGCATGATAGACATCTCTGAATGCTCTTTACACAACTTTTCCAGTAGCATGGGATCTACAGCTGTGGATTTGTCTGCTGAATCATGCTTGGCTTGGGCTTGTTTGATCATCAAATGCTCCTTATGTAGGTTTATATGAGGTGCTCTGACAAAGATCTGCATGATTGGATGCTACCAACACAAATACCTATGTCTATCATGATATGTTAGTGGACTGTTGGGATAGATCAATGTACGGTGTGACCACCAAGTTGCTAAACAGTCACATGGTAGTGTTGTAAGTGATATTGCATTTGCCAGTTCTGCCATGGGAATAAGTCAAAGGACTTGGTTGAGCTACACATGGAAATTACATAAATTCAAACTTGGGTAGCTCAGCAAGGGATCAGGGGCATTTGATGATTCTGCTTGTACAATTTGCAGAAAGATCTTGTGCATATGTGGGTGCACAGCAGGCATAAAATCCTTGGTGAGCTCACAGAAAACGGAAAAACAAGATCCAACCAACCAAAAGGAGCCTAAAGCCTTCAGGCAAGAAACACAACATTAGGGGTAAGTCCCTCATTCTGAGACATGCCAATTCAACTTGCTTGAATGACAGCTGACACATCATCAAAGGACTTTGTTAATCTAGTGATTGTGCCAGATTTCCTACCTTACTTGACTGAGCCCGTAAGCACAACCTCAGGAGAGCTATACATAAAGCTTAAAATGGAGGCAAAGATAGCTTGGACTTTTATAAGTAATCCTTTTGATAACATCACCAAATATGTTGTACATGAACAGTATCCTTTTTATGATCAACAGTCTCTTACATTGGTAACAGCAGAACCAGTCTCTTACTTCATGTCTCCAAGTATGAGACAGGGTAAATTTTTGTTGAAGCTAAGTGTTATGGGCTGGGACAGGGGTTCGGGCAACACTGGCACAGCTGCGCTGTGCTGCGCTTCAGGGGTGGCAGCGGTTGGCGCAGCGGATTCCCGCTGCTCCAGATTTGAGACTTGGTCAGCGAACCGAGTCACAGCTGCGCTGTGACTAGGAGCGCAGCTGTTTACCGCTGCTCGAAAATCACGGTGATGGAAGCGCGACGGCAATAAGCGCCGCTGCGCTGCCGAAGCGCTGTAAGCGTCGATATCACAGCCAAATTTTTTTATTACTAGAGTAATAAAGATATGAGCAATGATCTGAAGTAAAGCTTACTTGTCGGTAAGGGTTCTTCTCGGTTTCAGTGTTCCGGTTTCAAGGTACTCATTTTGGCACATCCTATTAGATGTTCAAACAACGCATCCATTCAGTGAAAAGGCTTTGGAGAGGGAATTGAAATGTCAAAAGAAGAGAAAATAACGGTACCTTGAAAAGGCGCATGGCTTTGATATAGTCTTTGGTATCAACTGTGAAGCGATGATATATACCTGATAGGAGACCATGAGGGTGAGCCTAAGGTCATAATTTGTGGTAGAATCATATGAAAACTTACCTGGAGGAAGAACTAGTACTATAGATCGCCTTTGCTGACTTGAACTCTGATCCAATGTTTATCACTCTTGTCTACTTGTTTTTGCCGTTTGCGAAGTCAAAATTGAGAGTTGTTTGCGATAGATGAAGTATAAAAGATTGTGGGTTACCTCGAACATCAAAGTAGCCGGTTCCATTGATAATCCATCGGATTTCTTCATCTGTGTTCATCAGACAAGCGAGCTGGTATTAGTGAGGAGCAACGCGAAATTGGTACACACGATGAAGTTGCGGATGGACGATATTCAGGTGGCGTTGCAATTACGGTAGAGTTGATTTGCAGGCCAGTCGTACCGAAAAACTGAGAGCTGTCTTACCTTCATGTAGATGCTCTTCGAAGAAAGAGTTGATGTTCGTCAAATAAACGTCCCCTTGATCGGAGAAGAGTAGTAGACAAGAGGCAGAAATATGTGAACATTTTTTTCACATATGCGAAGCTGATGATTGAAAAAACACGCACCATGGCTTCCTTACTAAAAATGATTTGATCTCGATTTCGATAACCTCGTTCAGTTGCTAACTTATCAACTTCATCAAGTTCTTCTGTATGCCAATGTAATACGCCCAAATCTTTCAAGCCATCTGGAGTGATTGTGACTTTTGAGTCATGTTCGGCTCTTTGGTCTTCCGAAGACTGGGTAAAATAAATCAAGGATGTTGAATAGAATCAGTTAGCTTTCATAAAGCCTTATCAAAAATCACTACACAGCCGCTGCAACCGCTGCAACCGCTGTATAATGACCGCAGCACCTGGAGCGCAGCGGAAAAAAATATCCCTCAAAACTCAATTCAAAAAGCGCTGCTGGAAAAGCGCTGCATATATTTTGGAAATCCGAAGCGCGGCTGGAAGCCGCTGAGCTGAAATTCCTCAAAGCGTAGCTTGAAAAAGCAGCGCTTCAGCTTTTCCCTGCGCTGCTGGTCCACTGTTGGTTCGGGGCAAAGGTCTCATTATGTGACATGTGTGATCACGTGTGTCACATGCTGTTACATCTATGTGACCTATAACATAGAGTATGTCTGCATACAAAACATGGCCACCATAGAGCTGAACAAAGCTCTGGCCTTAGATGCAATGGTAATGAACTGTCAACAAATGATGCGTATTGATGACAAAGATACAAGCTGAAAAGAAATTCAAGATGAAGAAACTGTTACAATAGTATTCAAGTACATAACCCATACAACTAATAAGAGGAAAGATAAAAAAGATTGGTTTGCACTGATAATAAGCTTCCTACATATACAAGAGACAGTATTGCAAATAATGAAAATCCAGACGAATAAGATTAGAAGAAGGTAAAAAGAAATGCTCAAGATTCAAACGTTGAAAAAAGATAAGATTTTTAAGAAGACACCGTATATAGCTGAACAACTATGATCTCGAGACAAAGAAAAATGTAAGTCAAAGCGTTAGGTATTGGTTGTGTAGTCCTGGAGTCGCGTGTTTTGATACTCGGAAACCTGCGAAAATGGACGGAGATGTGAGATGTTTGCTTGAAGGATCGCGAACAATGAAAGGTTATAAGCTTCTGACTCACCGATGTAGCAATTTGCATTTTTGGCCGACAAGTCTGAAACTATGAAGATGTCTTCTTTACCGGATTACTTTGTCTTTCCACGCTTGCACCCAACGAACGCCCATAGACGAGGTTCTCTTTCGAATCCTGCTGATGCTAATACGACATCAAATCAAGAAAAGTTAATTAAATCAAAAGCTTTAATTTGGAAAGTCCTACAAGTTACTTACGTCCGGTATAAAACCACAATACTTGATCTGGTTAGCCAGACAAAGTCGTAGTTTTTGTTTCATCGGTGGGCAGGGAGAATCGGGAATAAGCGAAGAATCCTTTTTGATTTTGTCATTAGATTTCGCCTTTGGTTTCCGAGATCGAGTAGGAGGAGTTGATTTGCCTTTGGATTGTCTTTTTGGGCTCTTGTGATCTGTTGTATCAGGTGCCGAACGCTGTCTCTTGTGTACGGTGTTTGGGTTTGTTCCAAGTAGCGCATCCGAAATCACAGCAGCGTGAAGGGCCATCGCACGAGATGACCTCTCCATCTTACTCGCGAGTTCGTTCAACGAGATTTTAGGTTTCGAAGTCCTCACCATGGAGGAAGGGAGTCTTCTCAAGGGCTTCTGCTGATGTTGAGCTTCAGATTGATTGCTCTTTGAGCCAAGCCGATTAGGAACCATATACGATGTGATACTCGTGTCCGAAAGCAAGGTAGGGTCGATGTGCTCGCGCAGGGGATTCCGCGTGACGTTTGGCGCAGGGTGAACGACCCCTCGTGAAAGCGACAGAAGCACTTCAGCATAATATGATATTGGCTCTGGCTCGTTTGAAACTACAGCAGGATTTGAGCGGTCATATCGTTCTTTGAAGTCGACAAAAAGTGACATGTGCAGAGGTGAAGGCATGATAATTGGCTCTATCTGTTTGTGTTTGGTTTAGTTATAGAAGTGATCCTGATGGGCGAAGAATTGGAAAGCTGGTATTGTCGAAAGGTAAAGGATGATGGTGAATTGAAAGTCGGATTTATTTTGAAGTGATGAATGTGGAGAGAGAGACGAAGTTCCAACGAAGCAGTCAGCTTTATATAGGGCCATAGTCGCCATAAACTCGTTGTGCCTTGAAAGTTTCCTGCCATCTTGTTGATTGACCTATCCACTCTGTGACGGCAAGGCACAAGAAATGGCCGGCGTCAGAGTAGGTACTATGTTCATCGGCGAAAGACCTCATCCATGATAAGAGATATGTCAAGCAACTTTTGATGAGTCAGCAAGCTACTCTTTGGTAACGCCCTTGATTATGTGTAGATTATTTTCTTTAAAGCGGCTACAAAGATTAGATTAGTTGATTATTGATTTGACCATTCTGAAGTATCTTATTACATGGGAAGCTGAATTAGTGACCCTGTATCATGATGATTCACGTAACACGGCGTGCTTTGGGTTCTGCAGGAAACTGCCATTGATCGAGCGTCTCAATACCTCCTTCCTCCACGTCTTCCTCCTTGCCCCAGTGTCTTTGAAATTCACCCATCTTGAGGGCACCCCCGGAATGAATGAATATTCATGGATACAACGGATAGCAGAAGGAAAAACCCGCCAATACTTTGCTTACCTTGCCGCCTTTGTCTGGTAGCCTTGTGGCCTCCAGCATGAGTACTATTTGCTCTAGGAAGGAGGTGTGTATGCAGTTGATAACCCGTGTAGAAAACTTAGGAAAGTTGGCCTACAAGTTCTTGCTTCAAGTTTTGAGCAGTCTGTTTCATTACAATCCCTACCTAATTGGAATCACTCATGGTGACCTATAGCAGCGCTCACAACGCCTTGGACTCGAGTGTAGATTTCTTGAATGGTGAGAAAGTATCTTGCCAGACTGAACTCTTTCTCAAGATTTTTCTGGAAGCCGAAATGATTAAGTATTCCAAAAATGTAATCATAAAATAGTGAGATTTTTTAAATACGTGAGGACAAAAGGCCCAGATTCTTGACTATTGAGCTCCAAGGAAAAGCTTTGATCATGCAGTTGAGAGCAGGAATGTATGTAATAACTTCAGAGTCGATTCCATTGAACTATGTCTTTGTCTCTTAATCTAGAGTAAGAGAGCCCACCCAATCCCAGAAATAAAATATACATCCTGTTGCGTATTTTCCCCAAATACGCCAATGCTCAAGTTAGTCGAATTGCCAGAACCATAAATTCAATCCTCAATTAAAGAAGCACAAACATTATCAAGAAACAAAGAAACGATTCCCAAAAATTATGTCTGCATGAACAAAGTTGATACAAAGAGAAAGAACAAAGGAAACGGACTGATGAAGGATATCATAAATTCATCAAGGCTCGATTCTTTATCCTCCTATTCTCCTCATTCATCTCAAAGGCTTTAATCCTTGCTTTCTCATACCTATCAACCCCCAAGAAAGGATCTTATTAGTCACTTGATAAGGTACAAAAACTTGAAAGGACGCAAGGAATCTACAACATACCCTTTGGTGATCCTTAGTAATCTTTTCACCGATTCTCGATCTTCATTTTGTTTCAATCGATGATGTACGATCTCTAGATGTTTAAATGATAGATATGGAGTCGATTCAGAGGATTGAATGTTTTCAATCGGATATAATCGTGTAAAGTCTTCAATATCTTTCATTGATTCTTTCACTCCACCAAATCTGATTTTTATCATAGAACGAAAGAAAGCTTTTGTTAGAACCTGGTCAAAAACAAAGAAAAAATTACTAGATACTCAACTTTGCCTGTAACCTAATCCAAGCAGCCCACATCTGACTCACAAGTCTTGCTTCAACAGATTTCACTAATTCAAACTTATCTTGCCATTCACCAGTAGATCTCCATTCATGAAAAACTTCTCTCGAGATTTTTCCTGCTCGTTCAGCTGAACGTACATATTCACACCTCTCCAAAACTAACAAATATATCCAAGTGATCCTAATAGCTTTTGTATCTCGATTTTCGTGAATTGATGAGAGCGGAGAAATGGTAAGATCTTGGTATAGCTTGTAAAGGTTCGCGATATCACTATGAGCTGCATAAACTGAAAGATATGATCCAACCAAGATGGATAATTTGCGTTGTTCTGCTGGTGTTTTTGCCGATAAATTCAAGCCACCTGTTTCGCTTAGAAACTGATGTATGAGCCGATCAGATTCTACAATGGTGTCCTTCTTGGACTTTGGCACTCCTCGGTATGGCGCCATCGGGTCATCATTAGTAGCAACTAAAGGTTTGTGAGTATTGATCTCTTCTTCAACTGGCTTTTGGTTTGGTGATTTATGATAGGTCAGTTTGCTCATCGGAGTAAAAGAAGCGTAAGTCTGCAACATCAATGTGACCGCCTTCACACTCAACCACTTCGAATCTTCGAATGAGGTTGATCCTGGCGGACGAGAATCAAGCTCTCGACAGAACAATCCATAAATCCATTTTGCACGAGGAAGGTCACCAAGGCGCTTCGAGCCTTCAAGTAGCGCCATGTATGTATTCAGATCAGGTTTGAGACCATCTTCGTGAATCATTCTATCTAAAAGTCTCAATGAACCTGAATACCATTTCTCTGCTTCTGTGCGTCTCGTGGATGTGCCGGGTGGAGGGCGGCGAGCTCGGGCCATCGCACGAATGAGATGATTATACGTTTCTCGCGTCGGATATAAGCCGGCGGCCTTGAGGTCTAAATAGATGTCCATAGAGCGCTCAGGTTCAGTGCTTGCTCCCGAAGCTAATGCTTTCAGAACCGCGTTCCAAATCGAGATCGGTGGTGTGGGATGAGCCAGAAGACGAACCCGATTGAAAAGGTCTAAAGAGTGGGCACGACGGTGAGAGGTGTAGGAGAGATATTCGAAAAGTTGAAGATAGACTGCTGGTGTCGGTGGTGTGCCGACTCGTTCCAATTCTTGCACATACTTGCTAGCAGCTTGATAGGCAGCTGTGGGAGTTGAACCACTACGATATAGGAGCAAATGAATGTGTGCTTGTTGGAAGGCAGAAGATTTGGTAAGACTGGCTGTGAAAGTACGTGCAAAGGAGTTGAACGTGTAAGCGATTATTGAAATATTCATCAACATTCGTTGACCATTAGGTTGGGCAGTAAAAACATACCTCTGCTGTAGGCTTCTGAAAGTACTTGAATTGATCGCTGAGCTTTTGATGGTTGAGGTAGATGAGCAAGAAGTGTCAGAAGACTATCGGTGATGGGTCCAATATCAACTTGACGAGTTTTCATCAACTCTACTAGATCAATCAATTTTTCCGATTGTAAATTACGAGCCTGGATCAGGGTAGTGGCGTACATTTAAGTAAAGAAACAAAGCATCAGTAAATTATTCAGAGGACTAAAAATGAGGTGATGGCCCAGACCGACAAGTCGATTGATCACTCAACAGCTACAAGTAATAGACTTTTCCAATCGTGAAGCGTCAGCTGATCAGCGTTCAAGTCAATTCCATGTGAATCAACCATTTGTGTTGGGTCATCTGACGAATTCGAGGGAGATTCGATTGCCTTGGATGAACAATTCCACAGCTGTTGTTGTTGCTTAAGAGATGCTGATTTGTAAGGACCCAAGATTGGAAGATGCTCGAGGTCATTAGGTGAAGGGGTTGAATCCATTTCTTTTCTTAATTGTTCTGGAGAAGATTTCATGAGGGATTCGTAAAAAGAATCAACTTCGTTTTCGGTGAAGTATTGTTCATGTTCATTTTCGGATAAATCGAGTGGGTTTGTTTTCGCGGGTCTATCGAGATGAGGTGGTAAAGCACGTGTCGGAAGATTTTGTGATACTAGACTGCTAGAAATTGATTGGTTCAATGGAACTTGGTTTGCTCTAATTGATTGAGAGTTGGTATGAATCGTATTCCTGCTGATAATAGTGATTCGATAACAATTGGTCCTTAAAAGTGCTCTCATTGAGTTGAGAGTACCAAGTCGAATTTTTTGAGTTTGCAAAATGATAATGAATGTCGAATAAGCTCCGTCTGATGTTTGAGTGAGTCTGTGCTCTTGCTGCTTCACTTCTTGAATGCCTTTTTCGAAGTATCTGATAAACTTTTTATGCTGAGTGGATGATGGCGATAGCGATGAGGTGTTGGTATCTCTAGCTGTTGACCATGACCATGACCGTGACCGTCTTCGATTCTTGCAAAAAAATCCAAAAAGTGCATACAGAGTCATGTGACCATTACACATGCAATAAGCTATGTAGCTGCTTCAGGGCCAGGCTATGCCGTCCGGCCCGTAATGAACTATCAGAGCGACCTTTGTATTCCCATACAGCTGAAGCCTGTGTTCCAGATTTTTTGCAACTTTCCACCCTCGAGGGCCTCATTTCGCCTAATTGACTCAAACTAACAATGCTCACACCACTAGCCATCGCAGCAGCTTCCGTGAGTCCTCATACACTCAATGGCATATCTCTTCTATCCTTACCAGCTCGAACGCCTCAAAGAGCCCGAAGCAGTCACGAGTTAACTATTTTTGACGATCAATGTTATATTTCCTTGATTATCTCAAAAACGAAGGGTATCGGCGGTGCAGTTTTGATACGATATTCACTTCGATCAGCAAGATCAAATGGAAAAGTACTATCACCCTTCATGAATATGGTCGCAGGTAAACCAAGACCAACAAGGATAGGAGACCTTAAAGGACCTTGGGCCATCGGTGGTTTTCAAGCTAGGATGGATCGTAGAGAAGCCAAAGATATATTAGGACTTAAGTTCAGTATTGATTTAAAAAACTCATGGTTCTCAGATTGAGCTGACTGTGACGTTGATTGGGTTTGGGAATCAGGGAATCACAAGTAACTAAGAATCGATTGAAGGATGCTCATCGGAAAATCATGTTAGCTAATCATCCAGATCGAGGGGGTAGTCCTTATTTAGCTAGTAAAATCAATGAAGCTAAAGATTTATTAGAAAAGAGCTTGCGGTGAAGCTTTCATATTCTCAGATGAGAGGCGGGGAACGACTATTTCTAGGTGGAATTCATATACCTTTCTTTGTCATGAGTTTAACATTTTTTTCTTTGGTTCAAAATTTCAATTGGTGTATCTTTTCATGCAAGATGCAAATATCTGGGTGTAACTAATCAGTTCTAGTAGGCAGTTTTCGAAATCAATTGAATCCCACTTCAATGTCTTTACACTTGCGAGCAGACACTACCAGTACCTTCAATGTTCAAGCCACCACTGGTTGATAAACTCGATTTTGAATTACGCTCAAATGAGATCACGGTGCCTTTGTGCGATTGTATATGGCTCCACTGGGGTTTCTGAGGGAATTCGGCTGTAGGTTCGGAGCGAAGTTAGAAGCGCGATATACCCTGACCAGCGTCTGATCTATAGGTGGCGGTGTCATATAGAGCCGTTGATTACTCCCTTTATACCTTCTGAAAGGAGTCTCATCTGCGACTGGCCCACATCGCTCTTTATCTCACAACAAAACTGAGGCCCGGCATTATACTTGTGACTTGCAAATCTGCGAGTGCTTTCAAGGAGGCGCCGGAACGCGTCTTAGGATTAGAGGTTAGTATGACTTTTCTACAGCGTCACATCATCCCACTGTGATTCCAAGCGCAGCAGACTGTCCAGAACTTCCATTTTGTGAAGTCACCTTTTGTAAGAAAAGGCCCCCACCACCAACCAAAATCTATTGTTGCACGTGAGGAGTGTCTCCTCTGCCCATTGGTAACCACCCGCTTCAGATTTTAATAGTATCATGAAGTTGAATCAGCAAAGACTTGCCCTATCTATTACACCACGGGGCAACTTTGAACTGGGACCACGTGAAATGTAAGTTGGGTATGACCACACCAAGTGGTTGTGTAGAACAGGTGACAGTAGTGTGAACCCCAGATATGTGGCCCCCACCCCAGCTCGTCACCCGTTCTACGTGTGGGCTTGCTGCTCACAGCAAGCCCGCGTTATGCTGATGTGATGCACCAGCCTATCAGTGGCTGAGCCAATGCGTGTGAGCGTGGCCTGTCAGCCAGCTGCTCAGCGCCTACACAAAAACATGAGTTAGATGGTCTGGGAGCAATGTGCCAGTCAGGTGCTCAGCACACAAATGAGCTTGGAAACCGCTCATCCAAGCTCACATTGGCTGATGAAAATGTGGCTATCTGTTTCTTACTCTATCAAAAAATTGGCCCGACCAATGATTCCTGGATATCTTTCGGTTTTGTTGTTGTACAATATCATGTTTCACAAGATCAGTTCTTTTCTTGTCTCTTCAGATCCCTCAAGACAGTTCCATACTTAGAATGGTTTCAATTATTATTTTATAGCTCCATGAACAAATGTAATAAATGCTAATTACATTGAGATGGTATTTGACGATCCTAATCATAACTTTCCATCAAATTTCCATAAAATACTATATTGAGGCCATGTCTTGTAATATCAAAAAAATTCAAACTTTCAAAAGATAACAATGAGAAGAAAGCAAAATTAGATGAACTTGAAAAACAGTTAGACCAATTTGTCACTGTCAGTCAATCAGAATGTTTCTTCTTCATCTCACGGTAAAATATTGTGGCTAAAGATTGATTTGGTTTATTTATTTTGTCATCTATTCATTCTACTAAAGAAGTTCAAGCAAAGATGGCAGCACAAGCTTGAATACTGATCTCAGTGGTTCTTTCAGCCTCTTCTCTCCCACAATTTACATGAGTATTTTGTGGACCAATGCATGTAAGCAGGATGAACTCACGGGTTTAAAATCATTGCATCATATACGGCCCATAGATTATCCAAGATGAATTGTACAAACATCGGTCTAAGACCTGGTCTTCGATTCAATTGTTTCTTTGTTAAGACCATTTTGTACCTTCTGATCAAAGAAATAATCACCCCATAAGCAGCGTTGTAATTTATCTTCTTCAATCTCCAATTCCTTTGACCAAAGATGAGAAAATTTAGAAATCGTGAATGACCAATTGTCAATCGCTAACAAAAACAAAACATCACCTTTTGTAGGATTGAAATATAAATCGGTATCATCAGTTTCTTGAAATTCTTCTAGTTTAATTAAAATTGGATCATCATTTTGTTTTTCTTGTGCTTTTTGCCATTTTCAATCTTGTTCCATTCTTTGGGTCACAAAAGATGAACCCATGACAGCATCAACTTGTTTGACTAATTGTACAAGGTAATGATAAGCTTCTGTTGGTGTGAGACGTAGTTCAGTGATAAGACGATCCATTCTGTTGATCACAAGGATAGGCTTGAGTTGTTCATTCCATCCCTGTCGTAGAAAATTGATAGTCTGAAAATAAATCGTAGCTTAGCTTCAGGACCACAGAGTAGATCCACAAACCAAGAAGAATGATTGATCACATCAAGAACAGCCCTGGCAGCCGAATGCAAAACTTTTGGAGCAGGTTGTGCAGATGTCACAGCCTGGTGTTATTTTCAAAACAGGGCTTTACATACATACATATGCAGTTTGATATCAAGTGTGACGTCACAGGTAGATGTCACAGTTCTTGCCTCCCTGGTCCCCTTTTGAATTCCGCTCTTTCAAAGTTAGCGTTCACCGTCATAACATTGGTCATCCTGGAGCCGATCAGTCATTCAAGTTTAATCCATAGTCATTCTGATTGTTCAAATCGAAGTCCTTTCATCAATTGTTCTAATTCTCTTTGTAAGTCTTTCCTCCCTGGATCCTTCAAATCAGCCATGTTCGCATTGTCCATATCAAAGTCCTTTGGCTGATTGCTCGCTCCATATGTAAGTCATGCTTTGTCTTTCAGCTTCATTCTTCTCTGCCTGATTCACACCATCCTACAGGTTGATGCCATTCTGATCATTATTTTCGTTTTCATTGTTCATATTGAAATCTTGAGGTCGATCATCCTGAGTCAAAGATTTCTCAAATGTTTCCCTGTTCGTTTTTGCATTCATTGAGTACATCATTGGTCTCTTCTTTATCTTCTCATCGTTCTGATAGCCCCTGACAGCCCCATACACTTGGATCAATCTCCTAGTTTGTAAGTCTTTCATCATCTCAATCTTTTCTTCAAGTTCTGACTCTCATTGGTCATAAATCCATTGGTTGATTGCTTGATAAACATTTCTTACAGAAACAACCAATGAAAACAAGCTATTAACTACACCAAATCATCAAACATATCCATCAAAGACTAATTTTTGAAGATCATTTTCTCGTCTTTTTTCTTGTCTTTTTTTCTCATTTGTTTTTCAATATAATCTCCCTTGATTGTGTAATTACCATTTGCAGTTTTTGTCAATGCAATAGATAGATCAGTTGTTATTTTCAATTTCATTCCGTGAGCAATGATCAAAACATCCCAACATGATCTGCGGGTGCTGCTATCAGCCATCATGAGGCTGGAAGAGCACTGGGATGAGCCACCACTCACCAGCTAAATCCAATTTGCTTGCACTACAGGAGTGCGAGCTATCTCACCTGGTTGACACAAAGTCTGACTCACACTCCTGACAATGTGAGTCATCTCATCTGTTCATCGAGTGAGCCATCTCAGCATGTTATGATATGAGATGACTCACTGACTCACCCAATGAGCGGGTGAGCCACCATCTTGTAGCCACATGATCAGATTGAGTGAAGCCCACACTGGCTGGAACGTGTAGCTCACATTGGGTACGACGATGTAGACAGTATGTCACTACAAGAAAGATAATGTTTTCTGGGCAGAAAATTAAATTATTGATACACAAAAATATTGAGAGGCCAGGAGGAGAGCAAAAAAAGAAAAAAAAAATGCATCTTGTTCCCCGCGTTGAGAACTTCACTCTGCATATTTTTCCGTATTTTTACAGTCCATATTGATAAGTGTACTAACAATAAACCTCCACAATCATCCAATTACAACCTGTAACAAGCACTGAAATTTGGCTCATTAGTGTTTAGAGAAACTTTTGATTTCTGAAAATACTCATAACTTTTTCAATTCCGGTCCAAAACGCTCGATTTTGGGTGCATTGGTAAGCTGGAATTGTCCTCCAAATAGCTCATAATAGGACCACACAGCATGCTGGTCTGCTAAAAAAGATATCACCTTTTTTATACCTTTGTACATACAGATCCATAGAATGATTGGCATACTAGCTACATAGTTCTTGATCTTATGAAAGTTCGAGAGAAAGAGTTCAGCTTTCTAATGCACTTAAAATCGAGTGTTTTGATGCAGATTTGACAAAGTTATAGGTGTTTTCAGGTATCAAAAGTTTCTCTAAACACCAATGAGCCAAATTTCAGTGCTTGTTACAGGTTGTAATTGGATGATTATGAAGGTTTATTGTTAGTACACTAATCAATACGGACTGTAAAAATATGGAAAAATATGGAGAGTGAAGCTCTCACCGCAGGGAACAAGATGCATATTTTGATTTATTTTTTGCCCTTCTCCTGGCCTCTCAATATTTTTGTGTATCAATAATTTAATTTTCTGCCCAGAAAATATTATATTTTGTGTAGTGTGTGTTTTATTGGCAGAGTCAAAATTCGCGTGAGTGTCACGTGCCATCAGCCCCGTGGTGTAGGTATTGTGACGTATTATCATTTTTCAAATCTTATACCGCTTTGGCCACAGGGCGGGATGCATTTGGTGACCTACCTAGTACGAGCAAGGTGATATCGAAGACTTATCTCGAACCACAAGCACCAGAGATGAGTGAAACAAGCTGCGAGCCAAACTTAACAAGGGATCTGATGGACACGCGTTATGGAAGAAGGGCTGGTCTGAATTCATATCTGACAAACATTGCTTCTCAAAACTCAAATCCAGTTTCGCAACCGACTTCAGCTTTTGAAAAGGATGACATCAGGACAAAGAAACAACACGCTACTACAGAATATCGTTGTCAGAATCACTCAGAATTACAAAGATTGACCGCTTGCAAAGCTGAAACACGCCTGGTAAGAGACATATATCAATCAGGAGAAGGTGGAGGCGAGGTTTTTCCAAGCGCAAAACGTAGGAAGACAATTTCCTTGGGATTGCCTTCCAGAAGTTATATCATCCCATCGATCATCTGCAAAGAGAGATAACCCGGCAAGAATCTCAAGGACATCTGAAACAGAAAAAGAAACACATTTGCCTCAATATCCAAATAAACCTTATGGATGTATCTCAAATCCTGGTCATGGTTCACAGGTAGCAGCAAAAAGCTCCTAGCAACAGCAGTGGTCCCATCAACCATCTGTATGTCGGATACCTCCCAACAATCGTGAACGGCCACTGGTCATAGCTGCAAAGCAGGATGAACTGGCAGAGCAGAGGAGGATGAATTCCATGAGATTACCTTCGAAGAATCATATCATTCCACCAATAAAAGGACATTGCATGTAGAACAGGGTATCACTGCCAGCATTAAAGAGGTTCCCAGATGGGAATATGGGTCCTAGTGATCAGATTCCCATTCTGCTACTGTTACACAGTTCCATGAATATTTCCTGAGTAGCCATTGTGATATATGTAGTCAATATTTTGAAATGTGTTTCTCAATCTGAACAAAGTTACAGCATGTATTACACATGATTTTTTTATCTAGATGAGCAGATAACTGAGCAGACCTGTATGTAGCTGATAGCTAAGGATTTACTCAGATGTTTGCACATATGTAGTGTATGCTTTATGGCTCAGATGTGCAGTGCAAGATGATTTGATGCTCCATTCTTCTCTCAATGATATTCCCAGCCTAGGTCATGTTCCGACCAGGGAACCTATTTAATGCTGGCAGTGTATGCGTTTGCCTCAAGATTCAACTAAACATCATATATCCATATCAAATTTCAATCATGATCAAGAGTTCAAGATGAAGATTAATGTCACTCCATCCATTGCGACAAAAGGGACAGAAAAAAATGGTCCGGTGCCAAATGTATACTGGGCACAGCCAGCAGCCAAAAGAGTTCAGCAAAAAGAGTTTCCCCATGAATCATCTGCACTTAAGAATACTTCCAAAATTGTTGAAAATTCATCAATCATAGGTCCAAAGAGATATGAACCTGCAACAAACCTGAGGAGATGTCAGACAAAAAAAGAGACACCTTTCCCCCAAGGTTCAACTAAACTTCATAGATCCATCATAGATTCTGATCATTGCCAACACTTAAAGACAAATCTGGCAGAAATTCCATCCATTGGGTCACAAGGTCAGTCCAATATGTGGATTTAGTTTCAAATTTAAGGCAAATCACAACTAGCATCCTTGTATATACATAGCTTCAGACAAAATAGACTCAAATCCAAAGGATTACTTGACACAGGCCTAGGCAGCAGGAAAACAATCTGAGCAAGAGGGGTTATACAACAAATCACTTGCCCCAAATCCTGATGGTAGAACGTTACTCCAAAATTGCAAAACCAATGATAGAAATCAAATGACAATGCAAGAGAATTTGATGGATTTAAATACGGACTATGATCCACAGCACGAGCTTCAAGAAACCTATGCTGTGAATGATGACTTTCCTAAAATGTGCCATAGGGATTTGACACAAGGGCACAAACCCCTAACTGATGGTGTTGAAGAAATCAAAAATATTACACAAGAATATTTGATCCAGAGGAAACTGAATTCAGAAGAAAGGTAATGGATTATTATAGAAATGAAGGTGTTACCCAGAAAATGACAGCAAAACATTTCAAAATTCATGTCACAACAGTGGTCATTTTTTTAGCTGCTGTCAGATTGCTAGAGATCACATCTTCGCAGCAGGGAAATTTTTGAGAATTTGGACGTAACCTGTTTTGAGTGCTGAGGAAATAAATAGACATTGAACAATATAAAAATTCTGAACAGAGGGAATATTGTCAAGATGCAGGTACATATTATGACCCAATCTTCCTGGGTGACAGGGTTTATGAATGTTTCAAAGTCTTGAATCATGGAATAGGGATAAGATATGATCTGAAAAGTCTGATAAAAATCATGATGACTTTGATAAGCTACAGCACAACCAACAAGATATAATAGTTCTTCTGACTTAAAGATAGGTCCAGAATACTTCAATAAATTTAACATCAGTTGAAGTTGTTGTTTGATCTTGATGTATAATCTTTGGACTAGTGTAAGAGACAATTGTTCTCTTCCCAGAGATTTCAAAGATTTGATATTGTATTCAGCTGATAAACAGTGCAATGGCTTTGATAATTAATTACAGTAAAACCAACAAGACCTGAAAGGCCTTCTGCCCTATACCAACAAAGACACAAACAGAAAGAGATAATAAGGTGGATAGTACAAAATATCAGATATACCTAAAGATAGGTACAGAATAGTTCAATAGATTCAGTGTTAGTTGAAGTTATCATTTACTTTTGATAACTGATTCTTGGACTAGTGTAAGAGACAATTGCTATATGGACAAGATCAAAACACAAATGAAATGTATCACAAAACAGATTATTGGTATATAACACAAATTGATAAAAGAATGAAATATATTCTCTTTGCAAAGATGGGGAAAATAGAAGTACTCTGGAAGAAAGTGAACTAGCATATAAGTAAGCATTACAATCATTTTTATCATGACCATTGGGGTGATGTTGCTGTTTCTCTTTTCTTGTCTAATATTGAATTACCATTTCTTACATCCAACTTATCACTTTCTCATCTAAATCTAATTTAAGTCTTGTATTTGTAATTTATCCTTGCCGTCTTCTTGTCAATTGGAGATTTCATCAGGAACGTGGAAAGGGGAGAAACAGGGAAAACAAAAAACACCCTTACTAAATGTTTAATCCCCCTGGTCAAAAAAGCCAGAGCTAATTGTAAGTCCCTTGTTCCTTGGTGATGGCTTGTCATCTTCAAACCCTGGGCTGTTGGGGACTTAGTTAAGTTTGCCCAATGCCTGTCCAGACACTCTTGTCATCTGTACTGACTTATCTCAATAAATTGTCTCCTTGGTCTTCTCATCCATTAAAGTAACCTTAGCTTCCCAACTCAATCACTGCATTTGATCACTAGTGTTTACTTGTTTTGAGTCTGAATCAAATGAGTTGAGTTTTAAATTGGTTTTGTAAGAATTCTGATCAAAATTTCAGGGAAGATTCTATGATGTATCTTTCAAAGAGATCAGATCAGGTATTAGAACAGTAATGATGAATAGATTGGATTGTACCTTTTTTTCTGAATATCTTCAATGATGGAGGAATAGAAATCAAACATTGGTATATATTCATGTAATGATTGATTGGATGTATTCACTACTTCAGTGCAGCAAATACCATGGTCAGAATATTTTCTGCTAGTGGAAACTGCATTAAAAAACCCCTGTGATTGCTATTCCAGAATACTTCCATGTTTTGAATTCACATGCCCCTCAATCTGGTATCATCCACATGGCTTACAGTATCTGCAAATGCTTCAAAAGCAGTGCAGCTGGAACACGTCTTGAAAATATGAAGCTTGTCTATGGTGTCTCATCATTGTACTGCTTTCCAATTGCGGAGAGCTACAGATTAGGAAGCTGTTGGAAGATCCATTTTCTTTTGTCAGAAAAGGCCAGTTGCACAACCAGTATTCATCTATTCAAGTGAGGTAATCACATGGTACAGAGTTGCCTGTCATGAAGTTGAATCATGGAAGTCTTTCAATCATTTTCTTATCACTTTTCAAATATCCACCTGTGTGTACTTAAACCTACCAAGTGTATTGGATGATAAACCTAACTGTATCATCCAATGTAGTCCGCTTACAAGCATGTAGAATTTCCTAGATACATAGATGATTCTTGGGTAACCTCAAAATAATTACAAGTCCCCATTCCTTAAGGGGGGGTCTTGTACCCGTTGAGCACCCTTTCACGAGTATATCACAACATCTCACTACTATACAAGAACACTCACGACTACACCATCAAATCTCACTACTACACCATCAAATATCACTACTACATTGCAAAATCACGAGTACAATGCTCAATCTCACAACTCAACATCAGGAGTAACAGGCGTGATATTTCATCTTACTTCCTAATAGATGATCTCACGCCTACACCTTCCCATTTCACTACCTAACAAGCAAATTCACGAGCACACCACCTCAACTCACTAGCATACTACCCAACTCACGCATGACATTCAGTATCACAAACGCATCTCCCATTTCACTACCATACAACCCAGCTTAAAATCTGGTGAAACTCTCACTACCTGATACCCATATATCACGACCACATCTATCCCCAACCACCATACAACAAAACAACCCTAACATACATTCTGACAACCCCTTCCTCCAACAAAACCTACCTACTAACCAAACCACCCCATTGCCAACTCACTCGACTTCTTCCCACATACGGCTCAATCAGCCTCTCAACATCCTCTCGACACCCATCAAGCCTCACATCTCAAATTCCAATCACTGCTGGACTTACTCAGCTATGTTGCGATCAGGAAATCCTAGAAATCCACTTCCGCCTGCATCATCCACCGAATCAGATGATTCAGAACACAGCCATACCACCACCCAACGTCGAACTACCAAGACACGCCGACCTCGAGTTCCCAAAGCACGGATCGGTCCCTCTGCATCCTCTGCATCTCAACCTAGACGTAACAACAAGCGACCTCGCCTCGCGGACGAAGACGAGGCCGATAACGATCACGAACACGACAATCAGCCTCAATCAAACAACCCCGACGACATAACCCCCAACTTGTCAAATTATTGGCAGCTAGGTCTTCAATGGGGACAAGTCTACGCTGACGAAAGACTTGCAAACCTCGGTGTCCCCAAAACCAATCGGCCATCGGCAAAAGGAGTGTTTGAAGCTCAGTGCCTCCAAAACCAATACAACCTGCATAAAACTATGCTCTGCATAGCTTTAAAATGTAGCCGCAAGGTGATGGATGAAGTTTTGTAAGTTCCAACATCAAATACCTTCTACAAGCTCCAAACATGTATTTATGATGCTTTCCTTCCATTGACAGGTTGGAAGGACCCTTGTCTCGCGAGCCCAACATGTATACCAACTACCAGACTTATAGTCTCGCAGCCACCAAAACCACCAGTACGCTTTTTATTTATCTCATTTTGCGGTAATTGATTTACACTCACTGACCAATCCTTTCCATTTGCCATCGTCAGTGCCAGGCAAAGCTGTATCCGACGGATTTGCAGAACGGAACACCACAGTTGGTACTACTTGGTCTACATACAACAAAGACGAACAAGCTGTTTTCACCCCGAGGCTCTTCGAACCTTTGTGTATAGCGACTAGCGAGGCCTATGCCCTCACCCAAACTCCACTAGGGATCCCTGCAGCCCCTTCGCTCAATGAAGAAGTACCTAACACGGCGACTTCAAGTATACCAGCTCAAACAGGGCTTACTCCCCTCAGCAAGGATGAGCTAGAACAATACGTGCCAATATTCAAGCGCCTGGTTAACCTTCGCAAAGTATCACTTGACGTACATGAAGGACGTCTCTGGAGGCATTGTGGAAAATCAAAAAACCAAACTTTGGAAAAGCTTTGATTGCACGAAATTAGTAAAGTAGTTCATCAGGTTAGTTCATTTCTTTCCCTGAGACTTTTCTGGTTACCGGCGGACTCACATCTCTCGCGTGACAATACAGCTCCACCTCCTGAAAAACCACTTCAACCTGCATTTCCACCTTTTGCTAGGATGTTGGACTCCTGGATTACCTATTAAGTGAGCGCTTTTCCAGGAGGAGTACAGCTCTTCTCCAAGGTGGGTCCGGATGCAGCAAAAGACACATCTCTTGGAATGTTTCACTTTTGAAGCAACCAAGGCTCCAGAGCACCTTCGCCAGAAAAAAAACAAACCCAAGCCGATATCCGAGGCAGCTGCACGTCAATCACGATTACGAGCTGACCTTGCTCTTGAGCTCAACAATCTGATCGGTAAGTACCTCATGACCTCCATTTCTCTCGACTCAAGTTTCCAGATTTAGCTGATTGCAATATTAGTAAAGCACCCTACCTACGTGGAGGCTATACAGGGAAGGGTGATGCGCATCCCAAAATTTCCAACTTGCAAGAAGCTTTCAAGAAGAAAGAATTTCGTGGTGAAGTATACCTCACCTTCAAGCGTGCGGACGATAGCCAAGTCTCCGATCTGATGCTGGAGAAAGGCCCCAGCTCTTTGACAAACAATGAAGTCGAACTATGGCTCGAGGATATCAAATCAAAGAAATACACTATTGTTACAGTCGATAAACCATCAAAGAAAAGAAAGAAACAAATCTCAGCCCCCCCTGCAAATAGTCATGTTGAACACTCACCCAAAAACGATGCAAGTCCAGACTCGCTTGATTCCAATTTGGACAACATACAAGACAACCAAAAAGAGAATCAAGAAGTATTAAATAGCTTGATTCCTAGTTCACCACTCCCTGCATTAGAAGTGTAGCAAATATTTAAATCGTCAATAAACATGTTGCCTCATGAATTTGTTTCTTTATTCTGTTTTTTTTAATATTCAACTTTTACACTGATTCAAGTTTTACACATGTTCATAATGCAATCTATTATTGTATTGTCTTGAAGAGAGAAAAAACGTCCCACAGTGCCAATCATATGATAGATATGCCTCTCAATCACATTCTAAGAGATAGATCTCTTTTCAAGTGTGAGAGTCCAAATTGAAAAGAAACAAATCTCTATGAGAGCTCATTATCTGGAACAATACCTCCCTTTAGTTTGATCATGGACATACCAAGGCCTTTCTTTCCCTCCAATTCCATTCGACTTCTCAAAAGCGGAATTATCAGGTTTTCGATTGCTCATCTCAACAATGTCTTCATGAAGAAGCGACCAAAGAACAAGTATTCGATTTCCAAAGTTAGAAAACATCAAAGAAGAAGAAAAAACACATTGTATCTAACGTAATTGAATTGTTTTGAAAAATAACCAAGAAAAACTTTGAAAAATAAACAAGAAAAACAATTCAAAGCACACAATTGGATCAATATGTAGTTAGAGCGATTAAAAGTTTCAACCAACATGTTCTTGATTCGTCATGAATAGGAGAGGGTGGGAGCCTACAAGGAGTTGGATTCTTTCGATTTCACAAAGACCAAAAATGATTCAAAGAAAAAGTTGGATTTTTTCGATTTCAAATAGACCAAATGATTCAAAGGACATACTTTGATCGAGGATGTAGCAGGAACAATAGATGAAAAGATCCAGCTAATACCTCTCACTCTTCTCACTCTTTCTTCCACACCTTCCCTTTGCCTTCCAAGATGTCATTACAATCATATATTTTACGCTCACAATTGGAGCGAAAGTTGAATTGTTTCCTCGTTCCAAAGTTTGCTGCTGCCCGTGCTATGCTAGAGGTAATTTGGGATGAGCATCCCAATCGCGTGTAGTGTATCTTTGTGCCATCTTGCCGTACGATCTCTTTTTCCAAGGAAGGAAGAGTCTGGTGGAAGGTACTCTTCCCACTCCAAGATATTTGTACTACATATTTTGCCCCAAAGTTGAAGGCGATTCTGTACTCTGGAAACAGGAAGAACCCTCCTTCTAGCCAAAAACCTTCAGCAGTAGTAACAATTTTTCGACTCACTGAGTCCATCGGATACCAAACACAATAAACTTTCCCCTTATCATTATCGGTATGAGGGTTGTTGAAAAAATTATGAAAGGTGAAGGCGAAGTTCCCTGCAAAGTCTTTAGGGCCTCAAGGTTGATCCTTGGACACAGCAGTCATTGAAGGAACTCTAAGAGTTTCGAGCTGGCTTCTGGTGGTGGAGAAAGCGTTGTCCGCAAAAGTCTTGTATCGTGCCCCGGCATGCTCTCCATATATCGGAAGTTCACTAATAAATACTTTGTATAGCGAATGAGATGCACTATCACATGGGATGTAAGGAGAATAGAGTACATCGCGTTTAAACCCTGCACGACATCCAAAACAGTACATTTTCCCTTGAATCAGCGCCCCATTGGTAGTTACCTGCCGCTTGCTCTTTTTAGATGGTTCTTCTATCGCAGCCTTGGTAATAGGTGGAGGAGAATCATCAATATCAGAGTTTCCCAGTGATGTCAGAGGAGATGAAAGTCCATCGTTCAAAGGTCTAGTATTTGTCACGATAAGCTCTAATTCATGTTTAAGTGATTTAATAGGTAGGCCTCCATTCATAGGGTTGTTGTCCTCCGTATCAGATGAAGGAAGTGAGGTAAGTGGTGAGTCTTCACCATCATTCAAATAAGTCCGGTAAGCTGAGAGTAAGTCGGCTATTTCAATTGGTACCTCGTACACATTTGGAGTTCTTGAGATCGGTGAGATCGGGTCGCATGTAGCCACTTCTTTAAGGGTTGATTCGTTGTTAGGTACAGGGTTGACTAATCGTTCTTTCACCGGCGATTCATGGTTATGTACATGTTCAACTGAAGGCTCAACTGGCGAGTTGGGTTTATCGTTGGAAGTTGAAGTCTTCTCTAGAATGATGGATTTTGATGTTTTCGCTCCAGAAGCTCGGGGAGTTGGCATACGCTGGAATAACTGCGTCGCCATCATGACAGTCTCCACATCTTGCTGATGTTCCTGTCGTATTTCAGGCTTCATCGTCTCAAGGTCCTCAAATTGATAGGTACAAATCAATTTTTGAGATTTCCTATCCACAAACTGGCCATGACCGCGATCATATATGTAGTACAAATTGGATACTATATCCATAGTCCTCTCATAGTCATGGATTGGTAAGACAGGATCATCAAACCTTCGAAACTCCCGTTTGAATGATTTCCCATCCTTATTGTTTTCACCGACAGCTGAGAGGTCAGTTCGGCGTTCATGAGTTGCTTTGGTGGCTCGTTTGAGATGGCGTCTGACATCATGCAAATAAAGAAAAGTCAGTGGTGTTAGAGTGGTTAGGGAGCATAAGTGTCCTGATTGAACTTACGGTTTTCGCGCGCAACGCACCTTACCGGGAACTGGTACGATACTAGCCTCTCTTCCCACCTCTAGGTCGTACAGAGATGGTAAGGAAGCTGGAGCTCTTTGCCTTTTCGGGTCATAAGAAGTTCAGTTATTGAAATTATATACATAATATTGTTACCTTATGAAAAAACCCTTACCGTGTTTTTCCATTATCCAGTTGGTCTGCTACTCCCAATTCTGGCTTTCCTTCGAGGTCCCTAGTATAGTATAAAGTGATAATGAGTAAATTTATCCAAACAAGCATACCTTGCGATGAATGAGAATACTCTAAACAAAAGTTGATTGAAGAGCTTACCCTATATCCCCTTTCCCCAGTACGCTATGTAGTTCTGTCTCTACCTTTTCCTTCTCTGCCTTCGCAACCGCTTCCCTGTACAAAGACAATCAGTCATCTTGACAAATTTGAAAGACTACAAAACAGGTCATTTCGTTCATTCTTACTTCGCTATCTTTGCTTTCTTATATTCTTGGGCCATCTTCCCGGAGCCAAATGGTTGGCACAAGGGGTTAAGCCAATGCTTGCTTTGAGGAAATCCATCGGTGCCCAGTAACTCGTGTGGTACTTCCACAAAGGATTTGGGACATTTGAAGGGAGGGGGAAGCTACAGGTAGTACATCATTAGCTTGACAGGCTGGGTTCTTTCAAACAAACCGTATATCTGACTTACATCATCGTCATTATAACCCTTCTGCCTTTTAGAATCAATCGGTTTCAGACAGTCTGACAGATATCTAACTCCAGGCATAGGATTCCCTACGGGCTCAACACTTTGAAACGCATAGGTTGCTCAGTAGTCATTAAAGAATCGAATGATTTGGATTAGTACCTTACTTTTTTTCTGGATATTTTCCTCGTAAGTGTTCAGTCCACCCAGGAGTAATATCGGTCGGCATATCCCTGTGGTTCCATGAAGACCACTTAGCTCTTGACTTACTCCAAGGACTTCGTAAAGAACAAAAGGTGAGAGCCAGCTTTCAAGAAGAGAGTTTTGTGAAGTAGGTGGGGCACGTATTTCAAGGTGTACGAAGGCTATCTATGCCATGCACACCACCACTTTCACGCCACACTCCTCTTTAGACTGGCTTCTCGGCCCAAGTATCTGATAAAGCCTTCATAATGAAGTACTGACCGATTTCAAAACTGATTAAACAACTGAAAAAGCAAACAAGTACATATCAGTTTAGGGATTGGTTTATCAGAAGTAGTAAATAAACAAATACCTACTAGCACGCGCGAAGATCTTCACACTGGAGGTTTCGTAACCTAGATCCACTGGGACAAACATTGATACATGTCAGGTTCCACAAGGGTGAGAGCCAGCGTTCGAGAAGAGAGTTTTGTGAAGTAGGTGGGGCACGTATTTCAAGGTGTACGAAGGCTATCTATGCCATGCACACCACCACTTTCACGCCACACTCCTCTTTAGACTGGCTTCTCGGCCCATGTATCTGATAAAGCCTTCATAATGAAGTACTGACCGATTTCAACTCACCAGAGGATAACAAACTGATAAAACAACTGACAAAGCGAACAAGGACACATGAGTTTTGGTATTGGTTTTCCAGAATTAGTAAATAATAGAATACCTGCTGGCACGTTTGAAGATCTTCAATAAGCTTGCACACTGGAGGGTTCCACGGCCAACGATGAAACCAAGTGACCTAGATGAAGTGAGACCAAAATTGAAACCAGTCAGTCGCATTTGGACATTTCGATAAGAGGCGTAGTATTTGAATATGCTCGTAATATCAATGGTATATCGATGGAAGTTATGGAAAAAAATGACTGTCACGATAAATAGAGAGCCTTTGGGGTCTGTTCATTCGATTAACCTAATTGAATTCCTGCAGAGACTTTCGATATCTGATGTAATCGGTGTCGAGCCTCGATAGATTGGCACCTAGTTACTTTAATTAGCGGACTAAATAACAAAATCCAATTAGCATCCACATTTGAAAATTGGTATGAGTTGTAGAAAACGATAGCTTACCTGCAATCGCGAACTCAATCGTATGTGATTAAAAAGGCAGATCCTAAAATGAAGTTCGGGAGTATGGTGAGGTGAAGTGATGTTTGGAACGTGGGCCTCGTTTGAGGGCAAAAATAGATTGGACTGACAAGAGAAATGGAGAAACCTGACTTTCTTGTTCAGTCGCATGGAAGAAACAGGGACGTGACATGTGTGATATGTTATTTTGTACACATATCACAGAGGGTTGCCGTGTACATACATGTGAATCACAGTTGATTGCAGGTGACACTTAAACCTCAAACCTCAACCTCTGTCACGAAAAGGGGACAGAAATTGAACTAAGGCATTATGTTGACCTCACTTCAAGCTGATATAATGGCCCTGATGACTGAAATTGTGGGTGTAGCTCTGTGTGGGGTATGTACATACAAGTGCCATACCCCATGTGACACGAGGAGCATTTCTCAGTGGAACAAGGGTCAAAAAGAACCGTTTACCTTTTTGAACTGTGATATTGAGAATGAAACATGAAGAAGGGGAGTGATCCACCTTTTTATTGATGTTGAGGAATGCCAAGTGGATTCTTAAACAAGTGATCATATCCAGATTCCACAACGAGAAGTGACTTTGCATTGCCATTAGGGTAATTCGAGATTGAGGGGTAATTGAGATAGGGGTACATATAGGTGCTGCATATCCTCAAACTGAGGATATGCATCAAAGAAATGTATATTCTGAAAGCTCGAATGACACTGATTATTTTGGTAACCTCACCAACTTTGACATACTAACACTGAGGAAGTTATTGATGATTTTGATTGTGAGTGGTAAATAGTATTGCGGGAAGGGGTTGAGCTGGCATAGGCATTCTGGTTGGTGTCAGTAGAGTCCAAAAATTGGGTTGGCTGATAGGCCAAACATGAGTGACAACAATGGTACACTTACTTTGAGATTTGGAAAACATTTGGAAAATTTATAAACAAATCATGTTTTTGTATTCAACATGACATATAAGGGTATACCCAGAAATTATTCACACTTGTTGAAGTTATTTGTGGGTGGGCATAGTCTCAAAGTATTATTTCTGAATGCCCCAACATCACTGACTACAAAAATGCATTTGATTTGAAAATTGAACAAGATTCCAAAAAGTTATAAGACTTTCAGGTTTTTGTATACAACAAGTCATATGCACGTGTACCCATAAGAAATCACAATTTAACAACATTGTATTTGAGTAGTAGTAGTGTCTTAAAGTACCATATCTGAATGCCCCAACATTACTGACCAAAAAAATACACTTACTTTGAAAATTGAACAAGATTACCAAAGGTTATAAGACTTTTAGGTCTTTGTATACAACCAGTCATATGCGCGTGTACCCATAAAATATCACAATTTACCAACATTGTATTTGGGTTGTAGTAGTGTCTTAAAGTATTATTTCTGAATGCCCCAACATCACTGACTACAAAAATACACTTACTTTGAAAATTGCACAAGATTCCAAAAAGTTATAAGCCTTTCAGGTTCTTGTATACAACAAGTCATATGCGCGTGTACCCATCAAAAATCACAATTTACCAACATTGTATTTGGGTTGTAGTAGTGTCTTAAAGTATTATTTCTGAATGCCCCAACATAACTGACTACAAAAATACACTTACTTTGAAAATTGCACAAGATTCCAAAAAGTTATAAGCCTTTCAGGTTCTTGTATACAACAAGTCATATGCGCGTGTACCCATCAAAAATCACAATTTACCAACATTGTATTGGAGTTGTAGTAGTGTCTTAAAGTATTATTTCTGAATGCCCCAACATAACTGACTACAAAAATACACTTGCTTTGAAAATTGCACAAGATTCCAAAATGGTATAAGCCTTTCAGGTTCTTGTATACAACAAGTCATATGCACGTGTACCCATAAGAATTCACAATTTAACAACATTGTATTTGAGTAGCAGTAGTGTCTTAAAGTAGCATTTCTGAATGCCCCAACATACCTGACTACAAAAATACACTTGATTTGAATATTGCACAGGATTCAAAAATGCTATAAAGATATACGTGGTTTTGGTCCACCCTTATATGGGGGGTTGTATACAAAACCTCACATTCTTTATAAGAGTTTTGGAAGTGGTCCAAGTCTCAAGGTAGGTGTACCATTATTTAGGTCTCACTGATGAAAATATTAGACTTAATCCGAAATCTTTACAACATTGAAAAATGTCATAAAGACATATGTTGTTTTGGTACACCCTTATATGTCATGTTGTATACAAAAACATAAATTGTTTATAAATTTTTCAAATTTTGTCCAAATCTCAAAGTAAATGTACTATTCTTTTCAGTCATGATTGGGCTTTCAGAAAACCCAATTTTTACACTCTACTGACACCAACGAGAATGTCTATGCCAGCTCAACCCCTTTCCGCAATACTATCTACCACTCACAATCAAAATCATCAATAACTTCCTCAGTGTTAGTACGTCAAAGTTGGTGAGGTTACCAAAATAATCAGTGACATTCGAGCTTTCATAATATACATTTTTTTGATGCATATCCTCAGTTTGAGGATATGCAGCACCTATATGTACCCCTATCTCAATTACCCCTCAATCTCGAATTACCCTAATGGCAATGCAAAGTCACTTCTCGTTGTGGAATCTGGATATGATCACTTGTTTAAGAATCCACTTGGCATTCCCACCATCCCACATTCAATTTTGACTTAGTACTCCATCCTTCCCTTCCAAACTGACAATTTGAGTGAGGAAAAGTTCATTCACAGTAGCAAGAGCGCTGGATTGGAAATTATTTTCTACAAATATGACTTCATAGTTGTTTGTCATGTGGTGCCATACATATAATGGCTATAGAACAACCAAGTAGACAATTACATATAAATTCAAAGGCACAGTATCATGCAACATACACATTCAAATATTGGAACAGCATTATATCAAATAAAATCATCCTCATATTCATATTCATATTCATATCCATACTCCTCATATTCATCTTGTTCTCCTTCCTCCTCAAGTTCATCTTCTGGGTGTGCCCAGAAGATGGGGACCCCTAGGATTTCGGCCCAGGTATTTGTCGTGCGCTCTACCATCTCTTTCCATCTGATCGTGAGATCAACATCCAGCTCTGCTGTCCCATTGAGATACTGTGCTGTTGTATTCAAAACATCCAACAAACCTCTATCCCATCTCTTCCAAAGTCGACATGTTCGTTTGTTGAGTGCGCTGTAAACCGAATTCCATTCGACCACGCGTAGATCACCTGAATGGCACGGGACTGTCAGATAACCCTACTTGGCTTGGACGTGCATTTTGGACTGACCATTAGCAATATTTGGCTGTGAGGCCTCAACCCTAGCTTGGTAGTCCAGCCCCCAAAGCATGAGTTGCCTCACTTCGCGGGCCAATCATCGTAGCTCTTCTTCACAAGATCTTACACTACGAAAGTACAATATGCCATCTTTTGTCTTTTGGCATGTTGACCAAGGTTCTTCAGGGTGATTTAATGCGGTCTCATCCCAGAAAGAATCGAGTAGGTCCATGTTGAGGATTTCTTCAAATGTAGGCTCACGCAAACGGTGCGGGGGTCGGAAATGCCTGTTGTACTTTGTGGCATGTCTCAAGTACGTCTCCGTTTTCTTTTTCAATAGATCCCTCTTCTTCTTACGCAGGTGTTCGTTGCGTGGCTGCTGTGTGGCACCTGTTCAGAGAGAGATGAAAACATTACTGATCGAAGGATTTGTCTTTTGGTGAGTATTTATTGGGGATACTTACCGGTTCTGATTGCGGCATTAGCTCTCTGCTGGATAACATCAAACTTGGCCTCGTAGAGGGCTGCGAGTGCTACCTGGACCGTCAAGACTGCCTTAATGCGGTTGGCTGGAGTATTAGGTAAGCGGCGCTGACCAAATTTGTAATAGGTGGCTAGATCTAGGTAACTCACTTGTTCCTCGACGAACGTTATACAACTCAGTATTTCCCAATTCGTCAGCGACTTCCTGGACTTTTGCTTCAAGATTTGCAAGAGATGCGGGCAGGTCAAGTACATCGTGACGCTGCTCACCAGTTCTTATGGCTGCATTCGCGGGGTTCAACTCGACCAGTCTTTTACTGATTCGTTCACCCACTCATCAAAGGGTAGGAATGAACATTCGAAGGGTAGGAATCATTTTTCACAAATAAATCAACGTACCGAGTTTCAAGGAGGTCCTCTTCAAGTTGAACCAATACCGTCACCCGAGCGCGTTGCTCCTTAGATTTGACGTTGATCGCCTTGAGCTGTAAATCACGCTGGCGAACCCACTGAGCCTCAAAGTAAGCCATAGTGTGTGTAGGGTTTTGACGTTTGAGTTCAGTTAGACTGGTCTGTGATTGCTGAACCTCAGCCACGTATTTTTGCGTGTGTGTGACAAGGAAATGGACTGAGTGGAACTTAATCAGCTGATCACGTCAGAAGGTGATGAAACAAAGGTATAAATTACAACTTACCTCCCTTGTTGCGCAGAATCTCGTTCTTGTGAGCTGTCCATAAGTCAAGACTGACAAGACGGTGCTGCTTGGTTGCATAGCGCAACAGTTTGATCAGGGGTGACAGCTTCATCCATACTCTCTCAAGCCCCTCCCCATTCGATTTGCCCCACCCCTGATTGAGACGCGGTTTGTACTCAAGTTGGCAACCCCAGTTGTGCGCGTACGCATGGAACAATGCGGTTCCGAAACGAACTTGGGCCGCATGTTTGTCATCTGTGAAAACTTTTTTCTTTAAAGTAGGAACAAAACATATACAAAAACTTCAACATCTTTTAGCGAGGTGATGTAAAGAAAAAAAACACCTTTTTAACGGTTTTATCGAGAGTGCAACCAATATCGTATAGAATACCCAGGCTCACATCGTCGTCTTGCTCATTGGCAAAAAGATCAAACAGCCACTGGACAAGTGCAACTGCATTATGTTGTCTAGGAGGGGAATCACAAATAGTCAATGTGTTATATATATATATACATATATATTTGTCAGGATAGACCTTTCACACGTACTTTTCACCAGATTGAATAAGATTGATCAATTTTATAACATGATCATGACGGCATGCCATGCCCATCAGACCTGATTCATCCATTGACTTGAAGTGGCCCTTACCCCTGACGTCATTGGCCGTTGTATGGGCTTCAGTACAAGCGTCCTAAGTTCCACATTCACATCAGCCCCCGTTTTAAACATCAGGAACCTTTTTGACTGACCAATTCCTCTGCGACATCAGGCAGACCTGCCATATGTCGAGCTTTTGCTTCAACTAACTTCGGATCCAGGAAAATGTCGGGGCGTGGTGGGTGAAAGCCTGGAATGGGTACACTGGCTGCAGCGTGCCTTTTATGCTGGAAATTGCCGTCTAGGCATATCACAACATCCGATTCCAATGGTCTTGTGATACCTACCGGTGGACCAAAGCATTTTGGGCAATTAGCAGCCAGGATGCCCAATTGAGAGAGTTTGAGTCTTTCTTGTTCGAGTTTGCGGATATGAAGACTGATAGCCCGATACGCATCCATGGCAGCGGTGAAGGGTTGTCGCCAATCGCGAGGCTGAGAAGACCACAAGGTTGAGTCAAGTAAGGGTACATGTAATATTTGGAACGACGACTCACTGAACCTTTGCTGGTTAGGATTAAGGGGTTATGATTGTCAAGGCAATCATCCAGGGCCTCACAAAAGCCTTGAGTAGCCACAGCTAAGCGTAACCACTGGGCGTGATGGTGCCGCAGGAGGCGGCAAGAAAAAGCCGTTCGAGGCTTGGCTGGAGAAGCCGCCATGTATCCCATGAGCAGGAGCCGGGATGTGTCTGAAAGGTCGCAGTCCTTACAGAAAGATACTTTGACACGACAACGACCTAAGAATAGGGAAATCACAAGGAGTCAGTGACAATATTTTATGGAATCATTGGTTTATTCACTCAGCAAGTCTACCAGGTCAACGTCTCGCTCAGACCTATTTGGACATGAGCAAGTCGGTCTGAAGTCATGATTCCAATTTGTTTCATTCCCCCAATTAGAAGTTTCAAGCCGACAACAAAGGAAAGTTGGTACCATGATGGCATACTGCCAAGCCCAAAGGTTTTCATGCTTCAGTCGGGCGGCCTGATGTTTTTCTTTTCGAAGCGCAATGACCACAGGATCATTTTGATCTTCGTGCGGGTTGGCTGGTCCATGATGAGGCATGAATTGATTCATATCAATCTCTTTGTCATCGTCATCTCCAAGGGCGTCTCTTGCATCGTTGTCCGCATCCTCAGGCGGTTGTTGAAGTTCATATGCGTGCTCGTGTTTGCCTTGCTGAAGGTTGTCAACATCTGGATGTTGCTCTTCGTTTAGCGTTCTCAGACGTGCTGAATGTGAAGCTTCGGTACGCGCTTGGTCGAGTTTGCGTAGTGCTACTTCTTGATGTTGCAACGGTGTGGAAGGCTTAGGTTCTTTAGGCGCATTGTGAAGGCCACGCAGAATTCGGTGGGAAGGCATCAAGATTGTTAAAAGATTGGATGGTTATCTTTCGCTTGTGCACTTTTAATCACTTTTAATTGCATCGGTGACTCAGTCCAATGATAGGACTCAAGTTTAATCTCAGCTGGGTCCTTTGATATATCGGAGATTCCTCCTTTACGTAAATCAGAGGGTTGGCTGGTTGACAGGGGTGCCATCACCGCCTACTAAATCAGAGGTTTGGCAGGTACAGGGGTCTGTTGACCAAAAAGGTATCACATGTCACGCTAGGCCAAATGTGTTGCTCGTGTCATGGTAATTTTAGTTGACTGTTGGCCTAGTCTGTATGGCCTTCAGCCAGTTTATTCTCCACGACCGTAGCGGTTGTTCTGGGCAAAGACGTGAACGTGACTGGCATCCAGATGGGTCTAGCCCAATTGGGTATGTTATTTGGCGTGATTGAGCCAAATTGGATCTCCACGTCGGCCTAGCCCAATGAGGCATGTTATTCGGGATGAAGATCCGTGACGACTTTCAAATTCTTCAATTCATTACTTTCCGATAACGTAATTCGTAAGACGATCTGATTAGGCTTCATTTTCGAATCTTGAATACGAATCTTGAATACTCTGATGAAGAGTTAATCGGCCGGAGGAAGATTCAGTCAGTGAGGTTTGACGGCCAGCAGGATATTTGAAATGATGTCGCTGAAGCACGTCTTCATGTACACTTTGACCTGCGGTTCTGGTATTTTCGGGCCCAATGTAGTGAACTGAGTCCGAGATGAAGCTTGAAGTAAGGCAGGTGTTTCTGGCTTCGCAGGGGCTCTCACTCACGCACAACTCCAACTTGCTGTGAGTGAATTCGTTCTGTTGTTTGTTTTTTTAGGTAAAATTCACTCAGTTTCAAAATATGTACAATGCATCCAGTTGCAACAAATATTGTAACAAAAAAAAACTTTAAAAAAAAGAGGGGACATCTAGACGTAACATAATCATCTAAAGTAAATATAGCCACTGTTCAACTCAATCCGATACAACTATTGGACCCAGTTGTTTTTTTTTTCTACCTTTGTTATTAGATTTGACGAATTGCTCATTGAGTTCGATCAAGGGACCCCATGTGTCAAGCCAATGACTCGCGTCCTCGTGGCGATATCGGCGCCATGTTTTACAAAGTCGAGGAACTGGGAGGTTGTCCAACGTCAAATCGAGCTTGAGGGTGCAAAAGTGGAGTGATGCCACGGTTAAAACAATTGGTGGATGCTGATTGGGTCCTGTGAGGTAGGGAAATGTACTCTGGCTAGATGCACCGGGGTCGTAGTATATAACTGGACGCTCAAATGTCGTAGCTATAACGCCACCCCAACCTGGCATGGTGAGCCAGTGCTCTTGCTGCGATACTACATTTTGTTTGCGTGTCCGAAGGCGGTTCAAACCTTCGGCGCGCGGCTGAGGCAGTGTGTCGTCAGAAAATAGTTGAGGATAGATCTCTACCGTCTTGACCATGCTCTGGCGTATATCGAGCCACTCGTCTTGAGACCGCCCAAGGGCTACCGCAATGGCGCGAAAGCCACAGTGTCCATCCGGCTCTACTTCGCATACATCGAGAATAAAGGGTTGCAGCCTCTCCCGGATGCGATATTTCTTCATCAGAGGTGGGAGTTCGCGAGCTCGCTTCCTGGTGATCCTCGTTACTGGTGCAGGTAGTGAGAGGTTTGATGTGGTGGGTGTTGGAGTGGGCAAGGTTGGAGCAGTGGGAAGGTGTTTGTTGGGTTCGTGTACTGGAAGGATTTTGTTGAATTCTTGGACTTTTGCCTTAGGGTCGGAGATGAGTTCTTCCATATTGAAAGTGGAGGTTGTGTTCTCAGTGGGTCCGTAGAAGTCATCGACAAGGCTATCGATCTTGAAGCAGTTGAATGTTAGTACATGTTATATTGGTCCTGGTGCATGAAACTTGACATACATATTTGTTTGTAGGGTAGGGAGATGTGGCAGGATTTGTTTTCTCAGGGGAAAACATGCTTTCACCTAGTAAACATCCAATGTTGACCTATGATGTACAGATAATAAAACATTTGAAATGATGGAGTAAAATGCTTGTCAGTGGGTTATGCCTTGAGTAGCATATGTATCGACTGTAGCTGCACGACTCACGGGTTCATTGAAAGTGTCGGGATGTGTAGCATTATCAATTTTGTAGTGGTTTGGAGAGTCTGGGCTGTTCAGGAACAGCATTTGCATATCAGACTGCTATCAAAGGTATAAGATGGTTATGATAAGCCTGGCTGGATTAGTTTTAAACAGTGGAGCTTGCTTACTGCCATGTGGAGTGTGGTGGTGTCTGGGGAATCGCTTTCAATGACAGGCATATCGATTTCAATATTGGTTGACCGATTCTGTGATGGGTCGGGGCTAAGAGCTGTTGTGGGTCCCTTGATTTGGTCATTAAGAATCGAATGGATTTTGATGATAGCAATTTGTCAACGGTGAGGAGTCAAAGCGTGTAAACGTGCGGAAACGGATGCAATGGTGGAATCGAGTGAGGCGTCAAGAGGTGTATGTTGTTCTATTGGAGGTGCGACGACAGCAGGTACCAGAGATTTGTCCTTCTTGCTGGGTTGTTTGCGAGGCTTGACATTGGGGTCGGGGGGGGTGATTATGACCAAGGTGGGTATGAATAAGTAGCCAATTGCCTGTATCGGGGAAAAATCGACCGTTGAGCTTGAATGGGCAGTCGATCCTGACAGACTTAGTGGTTCCAGGTGCAACGGAGCCAGATGGGTAACCAGCTCGGTAGCATTCATAATGAATCAAGTTACTCCCGCTGTGGGAGTTTCCTATCCTCATTCAATAGCCGTGCTGAATGGCGTCGAAGTCTAGAACGTAATCGTCCATCTTGCTACGATCGGGATGGTTGATCTCAATCACATCGGGGACAGGTAAGATATGTTCGATAGGCGTTTGAGAACTCGTTTCCATTGGATCGAACGGTAGTGTAGAAATGGGAGTAAGTGGATTTTGGGTGGCTGAATTGAGCGAGGAGTGTTGAGGTAGTGCGAGGTTGATCTTGAGGTAGTAAGTTGGAAGTATGTGAGCGGGGTTGGTGCTGTATGTATGTTGGGAAGCTTGAATGGTCAGATCGTAAGTTGAGGTGTAAGATAGTGATATGTATGAGGTAGTGAGATGAGAAGATGTGTTCGTGATACTGAATGTCATGCGTGAGTTGGGTAGTATGCTAGTGAGTTCAGGTGGTGTGCTCGTGAATTTGCTTGTTAGGTAGTGAAATGGGAAGGTGTAGGCGTG